ACCTAGTGCAAAAATGGAGGCTCTAGACCCTTCCAGAGCTGAGATATCGAAATTCAAAATTTCGACCCGAAAAAAAAACGACAGTGTTACCCCTTTCGTTTTTTCATTTTGGGCGAAAAATTAAGTTTCTCCAATCTTCTCAAAACTCTGGATTCTGATAGAGGGCCATGAGACTTTGACCTGAGTGCAAAAATGGAGGCTCTAGACCCTTCCAGAGCTGAGATATCGAAATCAAAATTTCGACCCAAAAAAAACGACAGTGTTACCCCTTTCGTTTTTTTCATTTTTGGGCGAAAAATTAAGTTTCTCCAATCTTCTCAAAACTCTGGATTCTGATAGAGGGCTGTGAGACTTTGACCTGAGTGCAAAAATGGAGGCTCTAGACCTTCCAGAGCTGAGATATCGAAATTCAAAATTTCGACCCGAAAAAAAAAACGACAGTGTTACCCCTTTCGTTTTTTTCAGTTTTTGGGCGAAAAATTAAGTTTCTCCAATCTTCTCAAAACTCTGGATTCTGATAGAGGGCTGTGAGACTTTGACCTGAGTGCAAAAATGGAGGCTCTAGACCCTTCCAGAGCTGAGATATCGAAATTCAAAATTTCGACCCGAAAAAAAAACGACAGTGTTACCCCTTTCGTTTTTTTTTTTTGGGCGAAAAATTAAGTTTCTCCAATCTTCTCAAAACTCTGGATTCTGATAGAGGGCGTGAGACTTTGACCTGAGTGCAAAAATGGAGGCTCTAGACCCTTCCAGAGCTGAGATATCGAAATTCAAAATTTCGACCCGAAAAAAAAAAACGACAGTGTTACCCCTTTCGTTTTTTTCATTTTTGGGCGAAAAATTAAGTTTCTCCAATCTTCTCAAAACTCTGGATTCTGATAGAGGGCTGTGAGACTTTGACCTGAGTGCAAAAATGGAGGCTCTAGACCCTTCCAGAGCTGAGATATCGAAATTCAAAATTTCGACCCGAAAAAAAAAACGACAGTGTTACCCCTTTTGTTTTTTCATTTTGGGCGAAAAATTAAGTTTCTCCAATCTTCTCAAAACTCTGGATTCTGATAGAGGGCGTGAGACTTTGACCTGAGTGCAAAAATGGAGGCTCTAGACCCTTCCAGAGCTGAGATATCGAAATTCAAAATTTCGACCCGAAAAAAAACGACAGTGTTACCCCTTTCGTTTTTTTTCAGTTTTTGGGCGAAAAATTAAGTTTCTCCAATCTTCTCAAAACTCTGGATTCTGATAGAGGGCTGTGAGACTTTGACCTGAGTGCAAAAATGGAGGCTCTAGACCCTTCCAGAGCTGAGATATCGAAATTCAAAATTTCGACCCGAAAAAAAAAACGACAGTGTTACCCCTTTCGTTTTTTTTCGTTTTTGGGCGAAAAATTAAGTTTCTCCAATCTTCTCAAAACTCTGGATTCTGATAGAGGGCTGTGAGACTTTGACCTGAGTGCAAAAATGGAGGCTCTAGACCCTTCCAGAGCTGAGATATCGAAATTCAAAATTTCGACCCGAAAAAAAAACGACAGTGTTACCCCTTTTGTTTTTTTCCATTTTTGGGCGAAAAATTAAGTTTCTCCAATCTTCTCAAAACTCTGGATTCTGATAGAGGGCTGTGAGACTTTGACCTGAGTGCAAAAATGGAGGCTCTAGACCCTTCCAGAGCTGAGATATCGAAATTCAAAATTTCGACCCGAAAAAAAAAACGACAGTGTTACCCCTTTCGTTTTTTTTCAGTTTTTGGGCGAAAAATTAAGTTTCTCCAATCTTCTCAAAACTCTGGATTCTGATAGAGGGCTGTGAGACTTTGACCTGAGTGCAAAAATGGAGGCTCTAGACCCTTCCAGAGCTGAGATATCGAAATTCAAAATTTCGACCCGAAAAAAAAACGACAGTGTTACCCCTTTCGTTTTTTTCAGTTTTTGGGCGAAAAATTAAGTTTCTCCAATCTTCTCAAAACTCTGGATTCTGATAGAGGGCTGTGAGACTTTGACCTGAGTGCAAAAATGGAGGCTCTAGACCCTTCCAGAGCTGAGATATCGAAATTCAAAATTTCGACCCGAAAAAAAAACGACAGTGTTACCCCTTTCGTTTTTTTCCGTTTTTGGGCGAAAAATTAAGTTTCTCCAATCTTCTCAAAACTCTGGATTCTGATAGAGGGCTGTGAGACTTTGACCTGAGTGCAAAAATGGAGGCTCTAGACCCTTCCAGAGCTGAGATATCGAAATTCAAAATTTCGACCCGAAAAAAAAAACGACAGTGTTACCCCTTTCGTTTTTTTCAGTTTTTGGGCGAAAAATTAAGTTTCTCCAATCTTCTCAAAACTCTGGATTCTGATAGAGGGCTGTGAGACTTTGACCTGAGTGCAAAAATGGAGGCTCTAGACCCTTCCAGAGCTGAGATATCGAAATTCAAAATTTCGACCCGAAAAAAAAAACGACAGTGTTACCCCTTTCGTTTTTTTCCGTTTTTGGGCGAAAAATTAAGTTTCTCCAATCTTCTCAAAACTCTGGATTCTGATAGAGGGCTGTGAGACTTTGACCTGAGTGCAAAAATGGAGGCTCTAGACCCTTCCAGAGCTGAGATATCGAAATTCAAAATTTCGACCCGAAAAAAAAAACGACAGTGTTACCCCTTTGTTTTTTTTCATTTTTGGGCGAAAAATTAAGTTTCTCCAATCTTCTCAAAACTCTGGATTCTGATAGAGGGCTGTGAGACTTTGACCTGAGTGCAAAAATGGAGGCTCTAGACCCTTCCAGAGCTGAGATATCGAAATTCAAAATTTCGACCCGAAAAAAAAACGACAGTGTTACCCCTTTCGTTTTTTTCCGTTTTTGGGCGAAAAATTAAGTTTCTCCAATCTTCTCAAAACTCTGGATTCTGATAGAGGGCTGTGAGACTTTGACCTGAGTGCAAAAATGGAGGCTCTAGACCCTTCCAGAGCTGAGATATCGAAATTCAAAATTTCGACCCGAAAAAAAAAACGACAGTGTTACCCCTTTCGTTTTTTCAGTTTTTGGGCGAAAAATTAAGTTTCTCCAATCTTCTCAAAACTCTGGATTCTGATAGAGGGCTGTGAGACTTTGACCTGAGTGCAAAAATGGAGGCTCTAGACCCTTCCAGAGCTGAGATATCGAAATTCAAAATTTCGACCCGAAAAAAAAACGACAGTGTTACCCCTTTCGTTTTTTCCGTTTTTGGGCGAAAAATTAAGTTTCTCCAATCTTCTCAAAACTCTGGATTCTGATAGAGGGCTGTGAGACTTTGACCTGAGTGCAAAAATGGAGGCTCTAGACCCTTCCAGAGCTGAGATATCGAAATTCAAAATTTCGACCCGAAAAAAAAACGACAGTGTTACCCCTTTCGTTTTTTTCCATTTTTGGGCGAAAAATTAAGTTTCTCCAATCTTCTCAAAACTCTGGATTCTGATAGAGGGCTGTGAGACTTTGACCTGAGTGCAAAAATGGAGGCTCTAGACCCTTCCAGAGCTGAGATATCGAAATTCAAAATTTCGACCCGAAAAAAAAACGACAGTGTTACCCCTTTCGTTTTTTTCAGTTTTGGGCGAAAAATTAAGTTTCTCCAATCTTCTCAAAACTCTGGATTCTGATAGAGGGCTGTGAGACTTTGACCTGAGTGCAAAAATGGAGGCTCTAGACCCTTCCAGAGCTGAGATATCGAAATTCAAAATTTCGACCCGAAAAAAAAAACGACAGTGTTACCCCTTTCGTTTTTTTCAGTTTTTGGGCGAAAAATTAAGTTTCTCCAATCTTCTCAAAACTCTGGATTCTGATAGAGGGCTGTGAGACTTTGACCTGAGTGCAAAAATGGAGGCTCTAGACCCTTCCAGAGCTGAGATATCGAAATTCAAAATTTCGACCCGAAAAAAAAAAACGACAGTGTTACCCCTTTCGTTTTTTTTCGTTTTTGGGCGAAAAATTAAGTTTCTCCAATCTTCTCAAAACTCTGGATTCTGATAGAGGGCTGTGAGACTTTGACCTGAGTGCAAAAATGGAGGCTCTAGACCCTTCCAGAGCTGAGATATCGAAATTCAAAATTTCGACCCGAAAAAAAAAACGACAGTGTTACCCCTTTTGTTTTTTTCCGTTTTTGGGCGAAAAATTAAGTTTCTCCAATCTTCTCAAAACTCTGGATTCTGATAGAGGGCTGTGAGACTTTGACGTGAGTGCAAAAATGGAGGCTCTAGACCCTTCCAGAGCTGAGATATCGAAATTCAAAATTTCGACCCGAAAAAAAAAACGACAGTGTTACCCCTTTCGTTTTTTTCAGTTTTTGGGCGAAAAATTAAGTTTCTCCAATCTTCTCAAAACTCTGGATTCTGATAGAGGGCTGTGAGACTTTGACGTGAGTGCAAAAATGGAGGCTCTAGACCCTTCCAGAGCTGAGATATCGAAATTCAAAATTTCGACCCGAAAAAAAAAGACAGTGTTACCCCTTTTGTTTTTTTCCGTTTTTGGGCGAAAAATTAAGTTTCTCCAATCTTCTCAAAACTCTGGATTCTGATAGAGGGCTGTGAGACTTAAACCTGAGTGCAAAAATGGAGGCTCTAGACCCTTCCAGAGCTGAGATATTGAGATCCTATTATGCCATTATAAAAATAGTGGGTTCGTGAACGGTGGAATTATGGGATGGCGCTTGGTGGTACGGACTTAGGGGCCCCAGCTGAGTGCAGTAAAATAGTGTTTATCATGAAAGAAACTTTAATTAAAATGTCCAAAAAAATACACTACCCAAATCCCCATTCAGTAGATTTCAGTCGGGATTGTGTCCAATTGCAGCTTATTGCATGAACGCTGGGGTTAGTACATTTAAAAAATAGTGTGTTACCCTCTACTAACTTGGCTCATGAAAGCTTACCCAGTGGGAGGAGCAGAAACACCACAGCAGCTCAACTTCAACTACAGATTGAGCCAAGCATGTATGACCCTAGAGCGTGCCTTTGGGTGCCTTCTTAAAGAAAATGAGACCCACATATCAGACATCTCAGAAAAGGCAGTTGCATTTAATGAACAAACTCTGTAAACTTATACAATTATGATGTTTTTCTTGTTCTGTTTTTCTGCACTTTTATTTTGCAGCAGGTTGTGTACAGTACAATAAAATGCAAAAACAGTGAGTCAGTAAATGCATTCTTTGTTCTTTCTGAACATAAAACAATATATTTAAAGGACACAATGTTACTTGAGGGATTTGTGTGTTAAATTATTTAAAACCAACAATAAACAATGACTGCTCAGTTCAAAAATATCTAGACAGAACATTTAAAAAAAAAATACAAAACACACTTTTTGTACGTAATTATCTTAAAACAGCTGCAGATAATGAACGTACAGTGTGAGCGGCTCTTAAGAGGTACAGCGTTACAGCAAACCAAAGTGTTCACATTTAAACAAACTAACCGAGGTGTACGTGTACTAGGCGAACACACACAAAATATTTAAACCCTACTGGAGAGAAAAAATGAATTTCCTCCTTTCAATGGCAGTGTTTTTTCCATTAACTAGTAGCCTATGACTTCACTAACAGCATTTAACCTTGTGCGTGTGAACGTACTAAAATTAAAGGTTTCACACCGATGCCATAGAATGAAACGTTTTTTTGGAGAACATTCTAAAAAGAACCATTTTTTTCTTAATGTGAAGATTTAGAATCTACAGAATCGTTTGTGGAATGGAAAGATTCCATGGATGTTACATGTTCTCCATCAGTGCCAATAAAGATCCTTCATTTTTAAGTGCAGCTTTCTGAAACCTTTCCCAAATAATGTCTAGATGTAAACGTCATTCAAACTCTTACATCAGTCTTGCGTGAATTGCTGCATTTAATTCAGATTACACCAACCTTTGCTCTGCTCGTGCAGTCACATCTACAGTTTTTCTGCGAATTTCTGTGGGCGAAATCCAATATGAACATCCATGATTAGGAATTTTACGTGACGGCGAAATATTTTCCCATAACTGGTTTAAACTGGTCACAGATTCTCAGAAAGCAGCTTGGTTTGTCACTCTCACAACTGTAAATGTCACCGCACCTTAAGAAAACATTTATGAAATAAGAAATAAGACGCATTGTAAGATATAAAGTAACATCGTGACATATGAAGTCAATTATGAGCAAAAGTGTTTTTACTCTACAGTAGAAAAGGCGTTTAGTTTATGCAGTTGCATAAAAAGTAAATGTTTGTTTAATTGAGTTCTGTTAAAAATAACACACCGAGCACGAGCAGTGCTTCAAACACTACTGACAATAGATCATTACAATTACCTTATTTACAGTGGGTTATAATGGGCTATCATCCCAGTGTCCACGTCTGGTTCTAGATGTGGGCCGACACTGTTGCGGTCCTAAATATTTGTTCAAAATATGATTTAAATGGAAGGACAAGGCACAAAAAATGACATGCATAAGGATTTAAGAAATAAAACTGATTTTTGCAAGTAAAATAAAATGTAAAAAAAGAAAAAAGATTTTTTTTTTTTAAAATCATAAGACGCAAATAACACTTCCTATGTAGACAGCTTGATTGATTCTGTTCTGTGTGGATATGGCATAACAGATGTGGGTTTACTGCAGCGGCCACCCCTCCAGCTGGAAGACCAACTCCACCGCATCCCGGACGTCATGCACGATGAAGGACGGCTGAGTCAGGCTGGGGTCCAAGCGGAAGTCCCGGTGACCGTGGAAAATGCGCTGCTCCGGGACCGTCTGCTCGGGGTCCTGTTGGTCTCGGTTGTAGACGCCCGTGCAGACCAGGATTGAGCTGCAGCCTTCGGGAGGACGGTGCTCGAACGAGCCTCCCACCATCACCTGCCCGGAGCATTTGGCATCGTCGGACGCTTCACACGCCAGGTCTCCGGTCACCTGACTGGCCGAGCCCCCCTGCGCCTGCGCCTGCGCCCGGCTGCGATGCATCGCTTTGAGGTAGCGGTTGTACAGGTTTGCGCCGTAAATATCAGCCATGGGGTTGTCACTACGAGAGAGACGGACCAAGAAAAGTCTTAAAGTGACAGCAGCCTAATAAACCTGCAGCTGTCCGTGTCATTAATGTTAATCAAAGAAAAGCACTCACTGCTCTTGGCTTTAATAACGACTCATTTATTCAATTTAGAATGTGTTACGGCAATCGGTGTGATTCACTTGCATTTTTGTGACGTGTGTAAAATGTACATAAAATAAAAGTCCCCACAGGTTCTTTAAACGTCTACAAAAATTCAGTTTTATGAAATGTAAGGTCAGGAATATCTTCACTGGTCAAACAAATGTCTTGGTCATTTTAAGAGCTCTTAAATTTGGGGACGGAAAACAATGTTTACTTTATAGTGTTTATATTGTAATATGTTGATAATTGATAATAATAATAACTCTTGCATTATGCATACATTTTGTCTTTAAAATGTTATATAAAACATTATTAAATACAGTTTAAAGCAGAAATATTTAAAAACCCTGTGTATTTTTTATATAATATAAAATTAAATACTTTTGCTTATAAATATCTCCTCGAAGCCATTTACAGTGGTGTGAATAAGTTTGGACACCCATGCTAAAGTTGCCTAAAAAGAAGAATAAAAAATCATCTTTTGGATATTGATCTTAATGCCTTAATTTAAAAAATTAGGAAAAATCAAACCTTTTAAGGACACCAATTTTCTTTGTGAATGAATAATGTCTCATAAATAAAAAAATGTTTTTCCTTAAAATACAGGGTGCATAAGTCAGGACACCCCTATGTTAAATTCCCATAGAGTCAGGCAGATTTTTATTTTTAAAGCCAGTTATTTCATGGATCCAGGATAATATGCATCCTGATAAAGTTCCCTTGACCTTTGGGATTAAAATATCCCCACATCATCACACACCATTCACCACACCTAGAGATTGGCATGGTTTTACTTCAGTTAGCCTAATAGCTGGTTTGATTTGCATTGAAAGATGATCTTATGGAAAGTACCCCATGCCAATCTCTAGGTGTGGTGGAAGGTGTGTGATGATGTGGGGATATTTTAATCCCAAAGGCCAAGGAAACTTTATCAGGATGCATATTATCCTGGATCCATGAAATAACTGGCTTTTAAAAATAAAAATCTGCCTGACTCTATGGGAATTTAACATAGGGGTGTCCTGACTTATGCACCCTGTATTTTAAGGAAAAACATTTATTTATTTATAATGCATTAATCATTCACAAAGAAAATTTGTGTCCTTAAAGGTTGAAGTTTTCCTCATTTTTCTAATTAAGGCATTAAGATCAATATCCAAAAGATGATTTTCTATTCCTCTTTTTAGGCAACTTTAGCATGGGTGTCCAAACTTACTCACATCACTGTATTAAGGAAAAATGATTATAGCAAATATTGGATAGCACCACTCATGTTTTTACTGTGGGATTCACCCAGTTCAGACTGAGCGTCAGTTCAAGGTCATTCAATGCTCTGAAAAAACTGCTCATGCATATAAATGTGGTCCAAAGCTTACCCAATGGCGTAAAGCCTCTCGACCGGCCGGGTCCAGCCCAGACTCTCGGCCTGTTGTCTAATGAGCAGTTCGGCGTAGTTGTAAGTCACAACGCTGGGCTTCCCGATCAGAGCCTCGTACTTCAGCTCACAGCCGGTTATCTTCTTGTAGATGCTCTCCAGGCACACGAGGAACATGCCGTGACCGAATCTAGCAACAAATCAACAGCAACAAATTCTGCTTACATGATCGTTGTTACGGTCAACATAAAATGGCATTTGCAACCCATTTTTTACTTGGAATTAGGATATAATATTCAATAAAAAGAGATTTTATCAATGTGATGGTGTAAAGTGGGCTGCATTGCCTACACCGCTTACTAAACAGCTATCATGGAGACTGGTTAACATTACCAAAAGCCATCATGATAACATCAGTCTAACAGGAAAGTTGTTTCAGAGATAGAGCGAGACAAATATAATAACATTCACTGAAGCATGTGTTTAACTATGATGATTCTACCAAATATTTACATTGATATATACAAAATATATTTAAAGGGTTGCGAAAGATTTTTTAAAGATGCTCACCAAGGCTGCGTGCATTTATTTGTTCAAAAACACAGTAAAATTGTGAAATATTGTTACAATTTAAAATAACTGTTTTCTTTTTGAATGCATGTTAAAATATAATTTATATCTGTGATCAAAGCTGAATTTATCATCATTACTCCAGTCTTCAGAGTCACATGACCCTTCAGAAATCACTCTAATATGAGGATTTGCTCCTCAAGAAACATTTCTGATTATTATCAGTGTTGAAAATCTTTATCATAAATTTATGATTATTATCAATATTTCCTGACACTAACCGAGGGTTTTTGGCTTCAGCCATCCACAGCAGATCCATGTTACAGGCCAGCACAGGGATGTGTGGGTAATGCAGTGATGTCACTGTGTTTCCTGGCCTCCCATTGGTCAGCAGCACATCAACAATCAGCTGTAAGTTCGTCTCCCACCTGATAGGCTCACCGAACAGGACGACAGCTTTAAAGAGACAGACGTGAGCGGACACGGATCTCAGCCGGGACAGAAAGTGAGACGGGTGGAATGAAACTTACCGTCTATTGGTGGCAAACCTTTAGATGGGGGAATCTTAGGAATATTAAATACATTATACAGTCAATGTTTAATGCTTAGGATTAGGAATCTGTTCAACTAGTTGCCTTACAAACACAGCTCATAAAAAAGGCTAAATTCATATTCAGATATTATTGTTTCTACTCACAATGTCTTTGGGTCTGCGATGGTGATCCACCATGTCCTGGAGAGGAAACGCCTCCCTTAGCATGTCAATGGTCACGACGTTCTTGAAACCTATACTGGAGTTTATTTGATCAAGGACAAACTGTATTTTATACAACGGGGCTGTTAAATGCTTGATTTTGCACTAGCGAGGTAATCACTTGAAGCAGTTAAACTTAATTTATCTATTAGTAGAGACGCTGCTGCCGTACACCGCTGAGAGACGCACTGACTGAGGTCATTAATACATGCTTAATATCTCTCTCTCTCTACTAACTGCACTCGACTGCTATCAGTGGCTTACGTCTCCATTACTAGCTCTAACATTAAAGGCCGTGAAACGATTAATCGCATCCAAAATAAAGTTTGCGTGCACATAATATATCTGTGTACTGTACTGTGTATAAATATTTTGTATATATAAATACATACACACACACGCATATATATATATATTTAAGATAAATTTGTTATTTATATGTTTTTACTAATATATACAGTATATATATATATATATATATATATATATATATATGTATATAAAATAGGGCTGTCAATCGATTAATTGCGATTAATCGCATCCAAAATAAAAGTTTGTGTTTACATAATATATGTGGGTGTACTGTGTATAATTATTTTATATATATATAAATAATACACAAACATGCTTGTATATATTTAAGAAATATTTTCATGTATATAGATTTATATATAATTTATATTATATATATAAATAATATTTTTTTCTTAAATATACATGCATGTGTGTGTTTTTATATACATACAAAATAATTATACACAGTGCACACACATATATTATGTAAACACAAACTTTTATTTTGGATGCGATTAATCATGATTAATCATTTGACAGCCCTAATATATATATATATATATATATATATACACTATTTGTAACTATTTTATAATTATAGTCAGTAATATCAAGGTAAAGGATACTTGTGTGCAACTTCCACCACGGGTCCCTGTCCGGACACCAGCACGCACAGGTCATGGAACTGAGTGAAAACCCTCAGAGGACTGTGGGACAGCACCACCTGATCCGGTGACACCTGTTCGGAGAAATCAAACCGCCATGACTCACTCTCAGACACTGTAAACAAATCAAATGTTGTGTTTAAACTATCGACACTGCAAATGGAGCAGCTTTGTGGTCAGGTGTCTCACCTCGACCTCCAGAAGGTGAGAGAGCTGCTCGGCTTTGGTTTGCCGGAGAGAGTTCCCTGCGTTCGTCACAAACACCACAGGCACCTTGTATTTCCCATCGCCGTCCACCAGGTCCCTAAAACACTGTTTAGCTGCAGGGATGGGCGTCCGACCACGTACCAGGACTCCATCAATGTCAAACAGAAGCCCAAACAAGCTGCGGTCCTGTTCACCCTCAAAACATACACAATTACATGTTTTGTTAGTACTCACTTTATCAAGTCAAGTCACCTTTATTTATATAGCGCTTTAGACGAGATAGATTGTTTCAAAACATCTTTACAGTGATAAACTGGGAAAAAAAGTACACATAACACTCAGGAATCTAAGGTTAAAGGTCGTGATCAAAGTCACAATGGGGATAGGTTTGTCTCAGTTGGGGATTTGAACCTACAACCTTCAAGTTACAGATCAAACTGAGGCTAACCATGAACGCCACACCATCCCTCAATAAAGGCGTATCTCATACCGAGATTATTTTCACATTTACTCCAAAAGGAAAGCGAAAGCTTGAGTAAATCATCCACTCACATTTGCGGTGCGGTGCTATTTAGGGGAAAACATCCCACAGTAAAGAGATCCAGGTGAAAGTTCATCTAGATCAATTGCAATTCACTTGCTGAATATTAATTACTGTCAAAATAACTACACACATATTACTAGAATATTGGCTGTTTACTATGCACATATCAATGCATTATTCTGCATGACCATATTCTACACATAACTAAACTTAACAACTACCTTAGTAACTATTAATAAGCAGTAATTAGAAGTTTATTGGGGCAAAAGTCGTAGTTAATAGTCATTTAATAGAGAGAATTGTACCCTAAACTAAAGTGTGACCGAAAGTGCTGTCTAGATAGGCAACAGAAACTCAACAACAACAACAAAAGCCGTTTAACACATAACACCAGTCGGTTTGTTGTGGTCAGGAGTGTTAGTTTGTTCATGGTTATTAATGAGGGTTAAATTCTGAATACTAATAACATTAATACTGAGCTTGAACTCACTGTGCTGTAGCGGCGCTGCGTCTGCGCAAAAGCAGCGGCATTCGTGACCGTCCTGCTCAGTTTCACGCCTATACACCCGATCCTAAACATGTTCAAGACGGGAAACATCTCTGAGGAAAAACAAACGAAGAAACGAGACAACGTTTCTACTTTGACCTGAGCATGACTCGGCACTGCTGCTAACCGCTAGCACACATGCTATCAGCAGCTGCCAAACATGTTTTTCTAGCTCTTATCTAAATCAATGCATGTGTGTCACGGGAACGAGTGTAGTAAAACTGACAGGCAGTGCGCGCTCGTGTTCTTGCGCAGACTCAGAACGCGTTCCATTAAAGACGCACACACAGACACACTTCCGGTTTGTAACCGGCGTGTTTTGAAAACGAGGAGTGCCAGTGAACGCACACAGAAGGTAACTAAATTAAAATTATATTAATTTATTTTCCCACGAGAATATGATTATAACAAAGGGTTAATAATGTGTGCACGGGTAAATATTAGAAATGGTACATGATGTTGTCAGCTAGTTGGACCAATAACAACCGTTGTTTTTTATAGTTTGATTTTATTGACTTATTTTCTTCACATCTGACTGGCTGATTAGAAAATAAAGTGATAATTTAATCATATCGTTAATTTATTGGTCCAAATAAACCTGTATAACACTTTGTTTGTTCAAACGTCCCTCCTCAAAGCGTCACTGTTTACATGGCAACCATAAACGCGCTACACTCATCATAAGAGCTTTTATTTAGCGAATATTTCATGAATCTTGATTTGTTGCATGTTGTTTTTGTTTACCTTAATTTTTAGAGTATAGTTTGATCACCTAAAGCTCATTATATTCAGGTGAAACTACCTTAAAATTAAATAATAAAAAAATCAGCATTATCCATTTTAATGTTAGTTGAGTGCACCACTTTACAGTCTTTTTTACATCTTAGGCCATACTCACTGTGATGATGGATTCTCCTCCTACAAAAGAGCATAAAAGGTAAATATAATTTATATTAACAGGACGTGTACCCACCAATATCCAGTGACACTGATATATCCCTAGCAATAATTTCGATCAAAACTTCAAATATATTTATATACTGTTGTCCCTGTCCCCACCAATTCCAAAATCAAACTTATGCCACTGTATATTAACACTAATTGAGAACCTACCTCACACAAAGAAACTATATGCATAAAGATTATTTTTCTTGTTTATGACCATTAAGACTTATTAACAAAGTGTTTTACAAGTAATTACTATTTACATCCCCATCCCCCAAATTCTCATTATCATAATCCAATTTTACAATTTCCATTATTCTCGCTGATCACATTCTCCTGTATAATTCCTTATTTGTAATACAATGATGATTGAAATAAAGGAACAATGTATACATCATTAATTTAAGAAAGAGATTTTTTGTTTGTTTTTTGGATTATGGTAATGAGATGATGGGTGCAAAATATGCTTGGAAAACATGGAAACAATATAAGACAATAAGAGAATATATATATATATATAGAGAGAGAGAGATACCGTTGTTGACCATCTGCATGTATGAAGAATGTATGAAATCCCAGACGACACATTTTGAAGTGCTGAAGCCGCTCTCCTGTGTTTGGGTCAGTCAGCTGGAGTCTCCGCTGCCCTCCATCTCGGAGCGCCTGGCGTTCCTGCGGCCGTCCCGTGAGCTGCTGGACTTCTACAGGCAGAAGGTGGCTCAGTTCGACGGAGAACATGAAGACCTGCTGCAGATGCTGGAGAAGTACAGGAGCACCGCAGAGGAGCAGGTCCGCCCTCTTCACCTGGACTCGCTTTCTTTCTTCATGTTTATTTTTATTGAGCAGATTCTTAAGAGACACAATGTCCATGACATGTATGAAAAACATCCATAGACATAAATGAAGAAAGAATTAAATACCCATCCCAAATTATCCCACAAACAAGAGAAAGATAAAAAATAAAAAAATCAAATCAAGAAAGGAAAGGATTCCATATTTTATAAAAACGAGTGAACAGAGACTCTGATGGGAGTGTTTAATTTTTTCCAGGTGTAGAAAGGACATTAATGGCCTGGTAATACTTCGCTTTGCTTCACAGACAGAGTCTGGCGTGGCATAATTGAAAAGGCGCTTGTCTGAAGTATAAAATCATTGGTTACCCGTAAGCCAATCACATAACGTCTGGTTATGACGTGTGTTATTCGCCAACTCAGCCGCATCCAACTTCCACTGTAAACACACGACACCGGAGTGAAAATGGCTGACCGAGTTTTGCTGCCTCCTTAAAGGGATACTCCACCTTTTTTTGGAAATAGGCTCATTTTACAACTCCCCCAGAGTTTCACCGTTTTTTTTAATCCATTCAGCCGATTTTCTGATATTTAGAAGAATATCAGTAACCAGGAAGTCAAATATGGTCCCATTGACTTCCGTAGTTGGAAAAAATATATACTATGGAAGTCAATGGGACCTGAAACGGTCTGGTTACTGATATTCTTCTAAATATCAGAAAATAGATTCGAAAACGGTAAAACCCAACTGTTTAAAGGGATAGTTCACCCAAAAATGAAAATTCTGTCAGTATTTACTCGCCCTCAAGACTTTCGTTCATCTTCGGAACACGAATTAAGATATTCAATGTAACAATATTCATTTTCTGGCTACCAATGAAGCAAAAGCAATAATATTAGCGTGGCGCTTGTTGTACACCAAAGTGTTACTCAAAAAATGACAATAACTGGGCAGGGTTTGGAGACGTGTAACAAAAAAGACCAGAATGAATACAATTTAGTCTAATCTAGAGCCAGACCGATATATCGGATATTATCGGCCGATATTAGGCATTTTCCAAACTATCGGTATCGGCAGTTATAATGGCCGATAAATGAATATTTCAACAATAAAAATAAAACGGACGAAACACGCTTGAACCATGTCATGAGTGTTGGAGTTGTATAGTTTGTCCACCAGAGGGCACTCTACACCGTTCCTGTTGGCAGCACTCGTTGAGTTGGTCACGAGACATACAATTAAAAGAACATCCCCATTAGTTCTCTAAACTCAAATAAGCAGGACAAAATTTGTGACTATCATGTCCAGTTAAAATAAATAAATAAATAAATAAATAAAATATCGGATTTCAAAACCCAAAAATATTTGTATCGGTATCCGCCTTCAAAGTCCTTTATCGGTCGGGCTCTAGTCTGATCTGCTGGGGATTGGATTGTGTGTGTGTGCATCTAACGCTGTGTGTTGTCGCGCAGCACAAGCTGCAGTGGGAGGTCCGTCAGCGCGAGGAGGAGATCGCGGAGCTCCAGAACGCTCTCAGTGACATGCAGGTGTATCTCTTCCAGGAGAGAGAGCAAGCGCTGCGACTGTACGCCGAGAACGACCGCCTCAAAATCAGGTCAGATGTCACGATAGCGCGAACGTGATCGCTGAGATGAGCTCGAGTCTGAAAGCTTTGTTTGCGGTCACAGAGAGCTGGAGGACCGGAAGAAGATCCAGCATCTTCTAGCGCTGGTGGGACCGGACCCAGGCGAGATCACGTACTTCCATCGGGAGCCTCCCAATAAGGTTCAGAAGGACACAGAGCAACATTACTGTGATGTTTCATGGCCATCTGTGTATTACGCTTAATTTTGATTTATTTAGGTCACAATCCCTCAGAAGAAGATCCAGCTGAGGTCACATGAGGAGTCAAAACCAAGACCTGTGAATGCCAAAGGTTTGACCATCATCATCAGCTTTGCTTATTAAACGTTGAGCTGTAAAACACTGATGAAGTTGTCAAGGACTCCTCTTGTCTATGTAAGAGGAGAACGGCTGTACTTTAACAGCATGTGTTGTTCATCAAACCACAGGAAGCAAGAAATCGCCCAAAGAAGACGACAGCAGAAGTTCAGAGCAGTACAAGAGAGACAAGCAGACGTTATTGCTGCAGGTGTGTGTGTGTGTGTGCAAAAGCTAGTTCATGCATTCTTATGCTGATATTTGTGTATGAATCTATTCCTGAGTGTATTACTGCAACAATGTTCATCAGAAGTCCTACGACGTTATAACTAGTCAATTATAGATGTGCTCTGAGCACCAGTCCCGAACCTGTTCTTTTTGGTGGAAAAGGGGTAGTACAGGTGAGACGGGCTCATCTCCGTCGTCCAGCTCAGTGTGAGCCTTCACTTTTCTCCGTCGAAGTCTACGGGGTCGCCGTGTCCATTTCTTTTAGTGGTGTCGATGCTGTGAAATGCTCAGTGCTCACGGATGCGGTTCCTCCATTGGTCCAGGTGGAGGCGCTGCAGGCTCAGATGGAGGAGCAGACGCGGCTGGCTAAAGAGCAGGTGGAGGCGCTGCTGGAGGACAGACGCATTCACCTGGAGGAGAGACAGGTCCAGCACCAGCGGGACCAGGAGAGAATCACGGCCCAAGCCGAAAAGTAAGTTCATCCCTTCTTCTGTTTGAACCAAACCCTGAACCCGGAGTATGACTCTCTCTCTCTCTCTCTCAGACTCCAGCGCACACAGAGTCTGCTGTACGAGAGCACGAGGGACTTCCTGCAGCTGAAGTTCTCGAGTCGAGCTCACGAGAAGAGCTGGATGATGGAGAAGGACCGTCTTCTGCGAGAGCTGGACTCCTGTCAGGAGCGACTGCGCGAGGACCACAGCTTCCAGGAGCACCGTCCGTCAGCCGACCCGCCGCTCATCGAGAGCAGCCACACACACCGGGACGAGATCAGGGTCAGACGGACCTTTTTTACCTTTTTAAAAAAATCGTACTAAATGTAATAAAGCCAGAGAAAAAGGAAAATATTATTAAATACACACACATATAAATATATATATATTCAATTTAAATTACATTTTACACTGATTTGATGCTCAATAAACGTCTCTGATTGTTAATGTTAAAAATAGTTTTTCTTGAAATAAACAGCATTTATTTCAAATGGAAATATTTTGTAACAATATAATAATGCATCCTTGATTAATTAAAAAAAATCTATTGTAAATGACGATTCCTTACACTTGCATACATAGCACATTTTTATTATACTTATTAAATGACTATAGAATATGTGTGCTTAAATGAAAAAAAATCAATTAATTTATTCATTTAAAAAAAATCCAAATATGTAAAAAAAGAAAAAAATTGATTCCTTAATTCCTTATGATTTTTCTTAAATATTTAAAACATGAGAAAATTATTATTATTATTATTTTTTTTTACAAAACTCATTAACCATTTAAAATGGAGGTTTTACTAAATTAGTTTTAATTCATAATATCTTTGTGCTGGTTTACCACCGTATTCTCATTGATCTTTTGAAGTCTTTATCCAGCTCTCACAAGTGATTGTCTTTTTTTTCCCAGCAGGCTTTGCAAGAGGAACTGAAACAGGCTCATAAGCTGTCCGACATGTACCGAGATCAGTGTGTGAATCTGGAGACGGAGCTGTCGCAGATCAGAGAAGAGGGCGACGTGGGCCGAGAGATATTCAAAGTACGCAAACAAACTCTTAGTTCACCAGAAAACAAACACGTGATTCCTTCATGTGTGCATGCAAATGTTTTTACTTCTGACTCACAAAAGTGCATGTCCAGCAGACATTAGAGCAGTCTAAACATCACACGAAATATCTCCTTTTATGTTCTATTTAAAAAAAGTCATATCTAGAGAGACATGAGGGTGAGACGCCTTTGACATTAAAATATTTTGATCTTTTATCGAAGAGTTGAGGTAGTTTAAATGTCTGTGTGTGTTCAGGAGCGCACTGACAAGATGGCCAATCGCCTGCAGCTAATGACTAAACGTTACGAAGCTCTGGAGAAACGACGGCTCATGGAGGTGGAGGGATTCAAGACCGATATCAAACACCTGCGGCAGAAAGTCAAAGATGTGGAGAAACATCTCTTTAAGGTCAGTCAGCGCTCTCATTGGTCTCTTCTACAACGTTTATACGCCTCTTTAATAACATTTGTGCAAACTGTGGCACGTTGACTTGTTGTTTTCAAACAGTGAATTGTCTGATATCATTAAATATGAAATTGGCAGACACATAACTATTTGTTAGTCATTCATATTATATTTAACTCTTTCCCCGCCAGCATTTTTGAATAAACATGTTTAATCATTTTTACAAGTTTCAAGGCCCAGAATATTTTGTTGTATGGATTTCAGAATATGTAATATATCGAAAGAAAAAGACCAGACCCTCTGCTTTAAACAAAATAGCGTCACGCATCTATTCTAGCTTTTTATCAACACTTAAATGTGGTTAAGTTTCATAAAAAAGCAAAATTGAGCTGAGAAAATGTAATTTTTGGCAAAGATTACATGCGGATGGGATTCAGAACAATGATCACAACAACACAGATGGAGTAGATCGAGTCCATCAAAACACTTTCATTCAGTCACATTAGGCAGTTTTGATTAATTATATGCTGTTTAATGTTGATGATCGCATTATTTTTTTTTACATATGCATCTGCTTACTTGTGCTATCGCTTGTTTCTGCATCATTTTTGATCCGGAGATTCAGGACTCTTTCAGAAGATGTGTAATAGCGCCCCCTACTGTATAACAGAGAAAACACAAAGCTGGAAATTTTCATTAATGGCAGGAAAACAGATAAAAGTGCAAATTAATCTATTTAAAATGATTAACGACTGGTTCTTTCTCTAGTTGACTGTCAACATGGGCCCGAATCAAGACCTGGCGATTCTTCGCGAAGTGCGTCAGACCAACAGCCGGACGGTGAAGGTCCAGGATCAGCTGAAGAACCTGAAGGCCAAAATCTACCGACTGGAGAATGATCTGAGATTCTGCTGAAGACTCGTCGCGTGGACTGATATAAGCATTTGCATATAGAAATATGAAATCTGGATCATATTGTTGGTCTCACATTATGTTGTTCACACTGTTTTACCAATGATTTGGAGTATAAGGAGTCTTAAGACTGAATGAATGATTCAGAAGAACTGGAAGTGTGTTTATTTGTGCTGTTGCATTTTCTATATTAGATAAATAAAGGTTGATTTTTGTATTCAATATGAAAGTGAGATCACTATTTTTGACCGATCTGAGACAATGACGAACAACACAAGGCCCATGTTCATTTTATTTATCAATTTAAAAAAAAATTGTCCCACGTGAGTAGTTTTGTTGTACATTTTACCAAAAAAAAAAAATATATATATATATATAAAATATATATATTAAAAAAAAAAAAAAAAAATATATATATATATATATATATATATTATATGTATATATATATACGATTATATATATATATATATATATATATATAAAATATATTTATTAAAATATATATATAACAGTAATGAGAATTTTAAATTTGAGGATAAAATAAATAGAAGTTTAAGGGTTAAATATGCTTAATTGTCAAGAAAACATCACAATGCAAAAATCCAAAACAAATTGCGCATATTTTATTAACATCTGAAATATGACTCCGTACATTAAGTTGTGAGATTCGCTCATACGTTGAAACGATCCACCCTGAGCACAGAGAAGCGGCGACACGTCACACTCCAGATCATCGTCTAGTCGCGTCTCATTCAAGTATAGCGTTCATTTCCCAAAAAACATCTCCAAATGAGAGTTTCGTCATTCGATATTAAAACGAGTATATTGCACGATAGTGGAGAACGTACCATTGTCATCACTTGGCGATAATATTAACGGTACAAATACTTTTTTTTTCATACTATGCATCGACTTTCATACTAGTCAACTAAAAACCACAAACATGGAAGCCACAAAGATCTTCGTAAGGGGGATGCAACACTGAAAGCTGCACTTCACATGGCTTCAACAATGACATAAACACACAGTTCATTTGCTCCTGAGGCACAAAAGTAAAGACTCGGGTAAAGATCACAAACTGATTGTAGTGTTGAAACGTTGGCCCTTTCAGTGGTTGTGTTTTAGTTTTACTTTAAAAATAGTTGCGTATCTTAAGACTGCATTATTCCCAACCGGCAGGAACCAGCCTGACGCTACAGGGATAAACATATTCTACTTTTAATGCGCCATATAATTGTGCATTAATGGCCGTATGGAGGTGCCACACACCAGCTTTAGTAAACAAACTACTGTCGTCAATCGATAGGCCTTTAGGGAGGCACCCTCATTAGTGTCTGGGTTTGTGACTGTGTGTTCAGATCATGTAGTTCTTCTTGAGCACCTCCAGATATTGTTGAGTGGCTCTGCTCACGGGGTCCGTCTGCTCTGGGGTCACGCTGAGGTTCAGGTTTGGAGAGCCGGAGGCCGAACCTACAGGAGACAAACGGGCAGAACCTCCTTCCAGCTCTCCGGTCACTGAGAGACAAAGAAGAGGACAGTTGAGTCCACATCACATGAGCACTGAGTAAATATGCAGCTCGTCTCTTCTCTGATGACGAGGGCGGGGCTATAACCTGTCACTCACGTGAGATCCACCAATAGCAAACCACAACCATCCATCTATTTATAATCAAGCCCCGCCTATTTGTTGTTATTCCAGGAGCCGTTTTATTTGGATATATGTCACAATTAGGCTATCGAAACCTCATGATATTAACCCTTGTGAATCCTTATGGACATTTTTGTCCTTTTCAGTTTTGTTTTTTTGATCACTTTGCCTGTGTTAAAGCTAACTGCAAAAAACTTGGCACAGGTGTGTATTTTTATTGGAATTTTACTATTTCACCGTCATTTTCTTAAAAAAATATATTTTTTTGCATTAGGTACAAAAAATACTCCCTCTCAGCACCTTTTGGACAAAAATGTCCCCATTGAAACCCATTAAAACTGCCATTTTTAATTCCCAGTTCAGTTACTATAAAATTATGCAATGTTTGTTAAGAGGCTTTCATTCTGATGGCAAGGCTTTACTATTTTTTATCAGATGGTGCCATTTATTTATTTTTTTTTAAGTTTGGCCTATAAACAATTATCGCTTTATTCCTGTTTTCTGTTTCGGCATATTATAGAGCCAACTGGATAAATTATGCAACGATATTTGTGTGGGTGTGTTGGTATGGATGTCAGAGTGTGGTTAGTATGTGTGTTATAAAAAAATATGTGTGTGTTTGTAATACTGAGAGAGAAAAACTGCAATCACTGTGAGCTCCAGTGGGGTTTTGCTGCCACCCAATGGGGGAAATATGTTACTACGCCCAAACAAACTGTTACCCAAAGCTCATTTTTTGAGATATCATCCTCAAATTTGGAACACAACCTACTTAGATTTATGGCTTTGATTTTATTGCAGTTTTGAGTTCAACCTGATTTATAAAATATATATTTTATGTAAAATATTTGTTATAAATAATTTTCATAAACTTATACCTATATAACTTTTTTTGGATTTACTTATTATTATTTTTTTACTACAGCAATAATCTGCAAAGGGTCTTCTTTAAAATGATACCAAACTTAAGTCTGTGCTCTAAAGCGTCACAGTTTTTATGACAGTTTTTTGACAGGTCTTTTTACCTATGTGTAACTTATTTTAATTGATGCACAAGGGTTAAGGATATTTTGTTGTAATAAGGATGATGACTCACCGTAGTCCAGCTCCTTCGAGATATTCTTCTCCAGCTCTGTCTGCATCTGTAACAGGAACACTTCTAACTTCATCTCATCAAACACACACGTCCTAAAACTAGTAATAGGAATAGTCTAATTAGTCTAAAAATGTTTGGGGTTTTAATCCAGCATTTATTTGATGAAAAATACCATAAAACAACCATTTTAAATTGTAATAATATTTCTATGTGAATATATGTTAAAGTGTAATTTATTCCTGTGATCAAAGCTGAATTTTCAGCATCATTACTCCAGTGTCACATGATCCCTCAGAAGAAATCACGATAATATAACCCCAGCTAGCGATATAATCATTATGAATTTGATTAGTATAATATTAAATAAAGATGCTAAACTGAATCATTCACAGGGATATTAGTAAAAGAAATGAGGGTTCAGACCTGAGAATAGCAGAACATGTTAGATCTAATTTAAATATATTGGATATTTCATTAGTATGAATATTGTATGCACACAGTATGTCAATTTATGTCAAAAGTTTGTAAGCACACTGCACAGAATACGGTATCCCACAATGCAACGCTCTTGACTTTACCTTGCATTTCCAGTGCGGTAAAAGAACTAAAACTAATATCACCTGATCCACGTCCTAACACACGTCCTAAAACTAGTAATCGGAATAGTCTAATTAGTCTGAAAGTTTGGGGTTTTAATCCAGCATTTTGCATTTTAATTCTGTCATTTTAATGCATTTTAATTCCTGCATTTTAATTCTGTCATTTTTAGGGCTGTGCAAAAGTTAATTGCGATTAATCGCATCCAAAATAAAAGTCTGTGTTTACATAATATATTTGTGTGTGCTGTATATAATTATTTTGTATATATAAATACCTATGCATGCATGTATATATTTAAGAATTATTTGCGCTTAAATTCTGTATGTATATATATAAATACATAATCTATATTATATAAATATAAATATTTTATATATGAATAACACATTTTCTTAAATGTATACATGCATGTGTGTGAATTTATATATACAAAATAATTATATACAGCACACACAAATATATTATGTAAACACAGACTTTTATTTTGGATGCGATAAATGCAATTAATTTTTGCACAGCCCTAGTCATTTTGCATTGTATTGTTGGGTTTTTTTGTTTTTTTTTGTGTTATTTTGGAAAGCACTTTGGTTCACCTTGAAAAAGGGATGTAAAGGGCTGTATTAATAAATATTGATTGATTGATTGATCCAATCCAACCGTCAAAAGTTGCAATATTTTTACACGAAATAAGAAAAAAAATCCTTTTCATAACTATATTGAGGTCATATGAAAACAATGTAGCGTTCAACAATATTTTCAATGTTGCACACAGCGAAATAATAGTACAATGCATAATAATACCCATTGTATTTCATTCTGAACAGTGTTATCTACTCCCATTAAAAGCAGGTGTGTGTGTGTGTGGTGTGTGTGTTCTGATAGCACACAGCTACACACCTGCTCAGGTATCAGGCTGCAGAGAGGACAGGTGAGAAACAGACTTTTGAGCTAGAAGCTGAAGATATCAGAGACACAAGAGGTCATGAGTCCAGACAGCAGGAGAGACGGGCGAGGAGGTTATTCGGTACGTTTAAGAAGGGAGAGATAGTGCAAGGAGAAAACATGTCATTGTCCAGTTCGAAACGGCGGCTCTTCTGAGTATTAGATCACGGTTTGAGTTGAATGGTGTCTTAAGCCGGGTGCACACTGTGTGATTTTGGCCACAATTTTCCCGTCTGAGACAAATTTGACGAATCCTAAAAGATTCCTGTGATCCTAAGCTAAAGTATGACATGTACGACCGTCAAAATGTCTGTTTTTCAAGACAAGCCATGACCAAAATTAACGTTTGAGTTCTCTTTGTAGCCACCGTTTCAATCCCGCGTGTAACACAGCTCACGTCACTGAACGCATCATTGATTAATGATGTAAAACAGTCGTACAGCCTGACAGTAAAGGAGTAGTTCACTTTTGAAAACACTTTTGCTGATAATTTACTCGCCCCCGTGTCATCCAAGATGTCCATGTCTTTCTTTCCTCAGTCGAAAAGAAATGAAGGTTTTTTAGATTTTTCTCCATATAATGGACTTCAATGGGGTCCAAACGGTTCAAGGTCCAAATGAGAGTTTCAGTGCAGCTTCAAATGTCTTTAAACGACTCCAGACGATGAATAAGGGTCTTATCATGCGAAACGATCGCTTATTTCAAAACTTAGTCCAAAAATGTAACTTTTCTAAGGACAAATGCTAGCCTTGCTCTATTCTGTGAGGCGCGTTTGTAACGTCACGTAATACGTAATAAGTTCAAAAGGTCACGGGCGACGTAGCCGGAAGTACAGAGTCAGTGTTTACAAGTTGAACGCATAGGTTGAACGTGCAAACGAACTCAAACGCCGTTTACAAAAAAAGGAATTAAAAGGTAAAACAACGATGTCGGACGATTTTGATTCTGTACTTCCGGCTACGTCGCCCGTGACCTTTTGAACGTAATTACGGATTACGTGACGTTACAAACGCGCCTCACAGAATAGAGCAAGGCTAGCATTTGTCCTTAGAAAAGTTACATTTTTGGACTAAGTTTTTAAATGAGCGATCGTTTCGCATGATAAGACCCTTATTCATCGTCTGGTGTCGTTTAAAGACATTTGAAGCTGCACTGAAACTCTCATTTGGACCTTGAACCGTTTGGACCCCATTGAAGTCCATTATATGGAGAAAAATAAAAAAAAACTTAATTTCTTTTCGACTGAAGAAAGAAAGACATGGACATCTCGGATGACACGGGGGTGAGTAAATTATCAGCAAAACTTTTTTTCAAAAGTGAACTACTCCTTTAATGACAACTGATATCCTACAGTGTGACATGCTTTACGGCGAGGATCGTGTTTGACTATAATGACTCGCACAGTGTGCACTCGGCTTAAAGGAGAATGAAATGAGTTGATGAGCGCTAACCTTCGCCAGGTAGGCCTCGACGCGGTTGCTCTGGGATTCTCCTACCGTCCCCAGCAGAGGGCTCCCCAGGCCCAGACTCCTGTTCAGGGGCCCCAGAGAGGCTCCGTACGCCCCCAGAGACGCCACATCGAGGGCGGGGCCTCCCAGACTGCCGTTCACCAAACTGCTGGTGAGCAGAGACTTGCTGCGCTGCCTCTCGCTCAGGAGTTTAGTGTTGGCCTCCGCTAACCGCTCGTTTGACCTGCACATGATCATCACAAAAACACAGAAATACATAAACCAACTGAATAAAATTACTACGGCTGATTAAAATAATAACAAAAATAAAATATATATAGTGATTCATTCGTTTTTAGTTTTAGCTTTTACTTGGTAAATGTATGATGATTTCCTGCGCCTTCCTTGATATGCTTTGAAATAATATTTATTAATTTGTTACTATTTTTTATTATTTTTCATAATTTTCTGCTCTTTTCTTGACACACACACACACACACACATGTATATTTGCAATTATTATTTTTAGTTTTACTTGGTAAAGATATTCTGCACATCCCTTTGAAATAATTCATATTTATTTATGCATTTGTTTGTTTATTTGTTTACTGATTGTTTATTGTTAGGTACATTTAAATGTTCTCCATTGATATGCTTTGAAATAATACATTACCATTGAACTCTTTTTTGTGTGTGTGTGTGTGTGTGTGTGGTTAATGTAACTAAATTAAATTGTTGAATCTCACAACGTGATTGAGCTGTGATTATAATGAAGACAAAAGTTTATAAACGATAGGACAGACTCCCATCATGCCTCTCACCTCTCCAGTTTGGAGGCGAGACTCTTGCGCAGGCGCAGCTCTTCGCTGTACAGCTGTCTGTAGCGCTCCAGCTCGGTGCGACTGGAGTCTCTCTGAGCCAGACTGTCCTGCTGGACGCTGCGTGTGCGACTGACCTCTCCCTCCAGATCCTTGATGCGCTGCTCCAGCTGAGCGCGCTGACTGGCCTCATTCACAGCTTTCATCTGCTCCAGAGCCTCCTGGGACGCCGCCTGCGTCTGACGAGTCAAACGCACACACAATTTACTATAAAAATGATCATTTTACATTCCAGAAAATGATATTATTATAAACTAATTAGATAATAATAAATAATACAGGTACAATTCTGCCTGCATCTGACCTTTATAATAAACATTAATAAATGATTATACTTAACTTTATAAAATAATTCATAATAAAAACAGCAAACAATATAATAAATAATACAAATTATAATAAACTAAATAAAATTCCATCTGTGTCTGAAAATAGTAAAGAAATAGTCTAAAACTTTATATAAAGATATTCTTAATCAAACATTTTATTTTCAAGACAATAAAAAAAAATTAAATAAACAAAAAGATTTAACTAAATAAAATTCCATCTGTGTCTGAAGATGAAGTTTTAGACTGTATTTTCCTATCTTAAGACATGATTTTTTGTTTATTTTATTTATTATATTTTAAGTTTCTTTTTTTAATTGACTTGAAAATAAAATGTTTAATAAGAAAATTCTAATTATGAAGTTTTAGACTGTATTTTTCTATTAAACATTTTATTTTCAAGACAATAAAAAAATAAACTTAAAATATAATAAATAAAATAAACAAAACAATATAATGAATAACAAAAAAAAACTAAATAAAATTCCACCTGTGTCTGAAGATAGAAAAATACAGTCTAAAACTTTATATAATAAGAATTTTTTTTATTAAACATTTTATTTTCAAGACAATAAAAAATACAAATAAAATAATCTTAAAATATAATAAATAAAATATGAATGAATAAAATAAATGAAATAAAATTCCATATGTGTCTGAAGATATGAAAAATACAGTCTAAAACTTTATATAATTAGAAATTTTAAGTCAATAAAAAATAAAAATGAAAATAATCTTAAAATATAATAAATAAAATAAAACAAAACAAAACTTTTGGACGAAATGCACGATGGTGCCTGCCGAGTCTCTGGTCTCCGTAGTGTACCTGCAGGAAGAGGTTGACCTCCTCCAGCTTGTGTCGGATCTCGTGTCGGGCTCTCTCCTCGGTCTCCCTGCGGTACTGCTCGGCCTGGCTCTGGTCCATCACTCCGGCCTCCAGCTGCCTGCGCAGACCGGCCACCTCCTCCTCCAGCTGCCTCCTGCTGCGCTCCGTCTGCTCGTGGCTTCGGCTCAGGCTCTTCACAGACGACAGCTTCTCCTTCAGCTGCCGGTTCACCTCCTCCAGCCGGGAGCAGCGAGACGCCTCGCGCTCGTACTGAGACTGGAGCTCGTCCATCTAGCAGAAAAGATAAAAGGTTCAATGGAGATTGCATACTTAAAATAACAAATAAAGCTCCTTGCACACTGAGGCTCTGAACCTTTTAAATGCTTGCTATAAAAACGCAGAAAACTGAACCCGATCTGAATTTCGGACTCGAGGACCGTAAGGCTGTAAAAGACTGTACCCGAGTCTTCATTCTGCTGGAAGCGCTCTCTGCCTCCAGGCGGTGGCTCGCGTCTGCTCTGAAGCTGACCAGAGGAGAGTCCAGCTGTCCAGCGCCCTGTTCACGCAGATGTTTCTTAGCCGTCTTCAACAGAGTCTTCAACCTGACACACACAGTGAGATACGATCAATACCCACACTTTCTCTAAACTATTAAAAAGGGTCAGAAATAAAATAAAAATTATTAGATGAACAAGTTATATTTAAGTATCTTTTGGTTTAGCAACTAACCGAAATAAAAAGCATTTAATTATTGAAAGTAAAATATAAGCTAATCATTATATATTAGAATTTTTTTATACTATAAAAAAATACTATGATAGTATATAAATAATACTAAAATAACACTTTTTTAGCATGTATTGAAGTCAATAAAAGCTTGAGATGTCAGCCTGGCCATATTAATAATAATATATATATTAAAGTCAACATAAATTATTTAAATTGTTTGCTTGTTTACTTATTTATATATTTTTTAGTTTTAAAACTACAATTATTGTAGTTTTAGTTTTAAAATATACAAGTTTTTAGTTTTAAAATATACAATTATAAAACTACAATTATTAAAACTAAAATATAAGCTAATCATTATATATTAGATTTTTTTTTTAAATTGAATAAATACTACGATAGTATATAAATAATACTGAAAATAATACTGAAATAACACTTTTCAGCATGTATTGAAGTCAATAAAATGTATGATCATTTTTTGCTGCCTCTTGATATGCTTTGAAATAATTAATTGCCATTTAACTGTTTTTTGTTTTTTATTGGTAAATGCAACTAAAATCAATAAAATCTCACAATGTGATCGAGCGGAGATAAACAATTTGTTTTTCAGATGACATCCCCAAATCCTTTAACTCTTGAACTCATCTCATCCAACTGTCCGCCATGTACACTGTAAAAAAATGTTGTTGGTTTAACTTAAAAAAGTAAGTAACCTGGTTGCCGTAAAATTTTAAGTTGATTGAACTGGAAAAAGTGAGTTAATACAATGAAGGAATTAATTTAATCATCAGAAACTCAAAATAATATGTTATCTCAACTAAAAAAATGATTTAAGTTGATTTGACAGAAGAAAAAATGTTGTGATAACAAATCTTGAAAATATTTTTTTTACGGTGTAGAGAATTTTTCACCACCAAATCAATTAAAATCATTAATATGAACACTTGAAAGTACATCTCTATGGCACTACTGAATGGTCATCACTGAATTAAACAAATATAAGATGTGTGCTCGCAGGTAAAAAGCATTGATCTCACACATTTGCAAGCAGGAGGATCCGCGTAGCCGGCTTCTCTATGTACTCAAACACGTCTACGGGTGTAGAGCTGCAGCGGTCGGGTAAAAGGTTAAAGGGTCACCTGTACATTTCTTTCTGAAGGTCTGTGTTTCTCTTCATCTCCTGCTCCAAACGCGTGTCCACAGACTTCTTATGCTCGGCTAGTTTTTTGGCCTTTTTCTTCTCGAGCTCCACCTGAAACACACAGAGTGTTAGACCTAAATCTTAATAAAAGGCAGAAATCTTAATTGTGGGGTCAACATGACATGAAATACTGAATACCCTATTTATACACTACTTTTTAAAAGTTTGGGGGTCAGTAAGATTTTTTTTTAATACTTTTGAAACTCTTCTGCTCACCAAGGCTGCATTTATTTGATCAAAAATATTGTCAAATAGTATAAAAGATTTAAAATAACTTTTCTATTTGAATATATGTTAAAATGTAATATATTCCTGTGATCAAAGCTGCATTTTCAGATCCTCCAGAAATCATTCTAATAGTCTGATTTGATGCATTTCTGATTATTATCAATGTTGAAAACAGCTGTGCTGCTTCATATTTATGTAGAAACATTTACTTTCAGCATTTATTTAAAATATTTTGTAACATTATAAATGTGTTTACTGTCACTTTTAATCAACCGAATGCATCTTTGCTTAATAAAAGAATATTATATATATTTTAGGGCTGTGCAAAAATTAATCGCGATTAATCGCATCCAAAATAAAAGTGTGTGTTATATATATATAACATAATATATTTGTGTGTGCTGTATATAATTATTTTGTCTATATAAATACACACATGCATGTATATATTTAAGAAAATGTGTTATTCATATATAAAATATTTATATTTATATAATATAGATTATGTATTTTTATATATATATATACAGAATGTAAGTAATAATTCAAATAATTCTTAAATATATACAAATAATGCGCAAAATATATGCATATATTAAATATATGCGCAAATAATTCTTAAATACATACATACATGCATGCATAGGTATTTATTTATACAAAATAATTATATACAGCACACACAAAATATTATGTAAACACAGACTTTTATTTTGGATGCGATTAATCGCAATTAATTTTTGCACTGCCCTAATATATTTCAAACTAAAACAACAAACAAAATCAAGGGCATGTTACATGTAAATCATCTATTTCCATGTGCTTACTGAGCTTTTTTGATTGTGTCACTAAACATTAAGCAGCTCGTAAACATGCGGACTTATTTTAATAAAAAATATCAGGTGTCAAGTAACACATTTTGGACGGGCATTATTATAATTTGGATGGACCTGATTGGTCAGTTCTCCTTTCTCTCTCTCCAGCTCAGAGAGGCGGAGTCCCAGTCGTGAGCGGCCCTTTAGCTCCTCCTCCCACAGAGTTTGTGAGTCCTGGGCATTATGGGATAGCACACTCTGCTTCTGCACCTGGAGAGGAGGACCACAATAAAACAAACAGTTGTTATAGTATATTCCTTTAGATCCATGTGACACACGTTTGTTATGAAGTGTACCTCTCGGTTGAGTTGTTCTTCTAGCGTCATCTTACTGCTCTGCAGGTTTGTGACGAGATCTTCCAAACGATTCCTGACCTGAGAACATCACATTGGGTCAACACGCAACAGGATCTCGCAGACGAGTTAACTACTTCATGCAGATCTAGATCTACTTCTAATCTTAGCACTTTAGATCCCAGAAACCAGAAATAGAAAATGAAAGTCGAATCAAATCTGCAAAAAGACCACCACCGAAACAGATAAAACACCCGACTAGAGAAAAGCAATAAGTATACAGTCACTTGTTTGTGTAAATCACAGTAAGATTTGAGGACTATAGAAGAGCTGTAATTCACAGTAAAGAAAAACAATCAATAAAGGGAATTGCTAGAAGTTTGATACCAACCCCTTCTCCAGGTGATGAGCCTGCTAGCTGTGAAAACAGTGACTATACCATCAGTTTACATGAAATCTCCTCTCCGAATGACTCACATGTACAGTCGCCTCATTCCTGCCCTGATCAGGGTTCATCTAAAGCCGAATGTGAAGCTCAGATGACTTAACGAGGTTCTGACAGGATTAATGTCTAAATCTAACATCATCCGTTGAGTCAGGACACTTGTGCTTCACGAACTAGACACATGACCGCTAACTAAACGCTATATTTGAGGGAACTCACCACAGCCCCGTCCTGAACGCCCTTCTGTAGCGCTTCGATGCGGTTGCTCTGCTGTTTGGTCGTGGCCTCCAGTCTGGCATTCTCGATCTCTAACCTGAGGAGACGTCATCATCTCAACTACTTTCAGCCATAAATGATCAGTTAGATTAGCAGTCGTTTAGTTGATGAGAGAACAGAATTTTTCGTTTGAATGCATGATTACAATTTCTTAATAATATGCTATAAATATTTAAATAAGAACATAAATATATACATATAATATTTAAATAATTGATTGCATAATATTATAATTAAATATAAGTAAGAATAAGTAAATATGAATATACAATATATATATATACTGTATACACAATCAATTTATATGAATTTCCTTTATTATTTATATACAGTAACTTTATGTAATCAAATTACACAATATGTAAATATTATTATAAATATATTCTTATTTATATAACATTCATATTTAACAACTTAATATTACGCAATAAATTACTATATAAGTAAGTATATATACACTCTAAAAAATGCTGGGTTGTTTTAACCCAATTTTGGGGCAAATTTTGACAAACCCAGCAGTAGGGTTAAATTTATGAATTGCATTGTCCATATTTGACCCAAAATTGGGTAAAAACAACCCAGCATTTTTTAGAGTGTATATATATATATATATATACACACACATTCATATAATATATATATTATTTCACATAATATTCATATACGATAACTTTCAATTGTACAATAAATCAACATTATTAAACTTAAATCATATGTTATGTTGAAGTTCCAAATAAAGTGACTGTTCTTTGACCCTGATTACGGCCCCGATCACACCAAATGCGTATTTGCAGTGAGATTGCGTTTTTATTGCAATTTGCCTGTTTTGAATTGTTTTCCTATGGCAGCGAGCGTTCGCGTTTCCACTGTCCAATCGAATGAGTTGAGAGGCGGGGCTTCCGTTGTAGTAATGAAAGCTACAGTTGCTTTGAACGCCCGGAGAGTGCGATAATGGAGGAGAAACTTGTGGTGCTACACGGACCGTAACTACCACAAAGTTATCAGAAAGTAAATTTGATAAAAGGCTGATTTGACGTTTACTTGACTTTGACTGACAGGGCCGCTGTTTCGATGTTTGCCTCGCAACATAAAATACGCAAGCAGTCATTCTGTGTGAAGAACGGGGCAATACTTTGAAACTGAAAAGCGTGTTTGGTGTGATGGGGGCCTAACTGCACCTCTGCACCGCCTCCTCCAGCTGTCGAATGGTTTGCTCTTTGCCTGTAGAAGCAGACAGCGCCTCCTCTAGTTTCTGAGCGGTACTGCAGGCTTCTCGCTCCTTATCGTCCAGAGAGCTCTTCAGGTGGCTGATGCGTCTCTCGGCCTGGACGTACACTTCTTCAGACTCCTGCAGCTGGAATTGAACAAAAAGAAACAAATCAAACAAAAGGATTGAATAGCCTACATAAGAACCACATATATTTAATGAATGAATATGCGTGCAGAAAATAACGAATGAACATATGTTGTTCCTGAGACTCCAGTTACATACTGGTGGCTGGACAGTTTTCAGGAAGTAATGGGTACCTTGGCCTTCAATCGGTCCATGTCCTTGAGCGTGCGCGCCTTCTCTTCCTCAAGGTCGTTTCGGTACCGCGTGTTGACCTCCAGAGAGGCCTCACACATGGACAACTTCTTCAGACTGTCGGCCAGTTCCTGCTGCAGCTGTCGAAGAGAGGTCTGCCGAAACACAACATACGTAGCTTCATTCTCTCATTGGATCATCTTCTTTTTACATTATATTACACTGGGTCTACACCAGATGTGTGTGCCATGTCGAGAAGTTGCTGTCAACATTTCAGGTGCCCATTCAGATTTATTTTGTGTCGCACTGCAGAGCCCTTCTGCCCATTTTGTTTGATTTATCTGTAAAAAAGTCATATGTTTCTTCTTGTAGATTTTTTTTTAATTATTATTATTGTCTTATTTGATACTTTTATATACAGCGCAGTACTGTTCAAAAGTTTAGGGTCACAAAGTTAGCTTTTATTTGATCGAAAATACAGTTAAAAAACGGTGAAATATTATTGCAATTTTAAATGCCTGTTTCTATTTAAATATATTTAAAAGTGTAATTTATTCCTGTGAATTTTCAGCATCATTACTCCAGTCTTCAGTGTCAGAAATCATTCTAATATCTTAATATTAGGATGTTTTGCTGCTTAATATTTTTTTTTTTTTTTTTTTGCAGAAACTGGCGCATTTCTTTTCAGGATTCTTTGGTGAATAGAAAGTTCAAAAGAACAGCAATTATTTTAAATATTGAAACATTATAAAATGTTGTTCCTGTCATTTAAATTTAATGCATCCTTTCTGAATAGAAGTAATACTTCAAATAACTTTTGAATGGTGCATATATTATATTATTAATGACTTAGTATAAGTACATTTTACTCATTTAATTATGTGTAAAATGATTTTGCTACTATGCCAAATCAGTGTCATACCAATGAAAATCTGAAAATAAAGTTGGATTCATTGAAATGTTGTTGTTTTTTTTCAGTGTTTCTGTCACTCTTCATAAAGGAAATGAATATGCATATCAATGGGCTATATGCACGCATAAGTTCCACATTTGACGCAAGGATGCTCTACTGTTTCCGGTTGGGGAGATTAAAGCGGCAGACCGATATTATCGGCCGATATTAGGCATTTTCGAAACTATCGGTATCAGCAGTTATAATGACCGATAAATTAATATTTCAAAAATAAAATAAAAACGGACGAAACACGCTTGAACCATGTCATGAGTGTTGGAGTTGTATAGTTTGTCCACCAGAGGGCGCTCTACACCGTTCCTGTTGGCAACACTTGTTGAGTTGGTTACGAGACATACAATTAAAAGAACATCCCCATCAGTTCTCTAAACTCAAATAAGCAGGACAAAATTTGTGACTATCATGTCCAGTTTTGCTGCTGTTAAATAAGCCGAGAGTGAAGCAGAATTAGCTAGTAATAATTACGTTACGTTGTTACAGTGTCGTTGACTGACTGTCCTTTTAACTTTTGACAATGTGACTGAAGTATTTCTTTAATAGCGCGTGACAGTTTTAGCAATGAGACGCATCATCTCTCCTCGCCCTGTTATATTGAAAATATAGCTAAATTGTTTCTTTTTAAAATGCATTAGCATATTATTTTAGTTAAAACTCATAAATAACTACAAATAACTAATGTTAAGGAAATCTGTTAATGTCTTGTTCCTCGTTTCTGAAAAAAAAAAAAAATATCGGCCGATATATATCGGAATATGGGATTTTAAAACCAAAAAATATTTGTATCGGTATCGGCCTTCAAAATCCTTTAATCGGACGGGCTCTAGTTTAGATGTAATTTTATATATAGTTATGTTTATTTAATATAATTTTAAAAAGAAGCATAAACACACTGAACACACACACATAAAAACACAGTGTCTGTTCGATCCGTTTTAGTGACTAACGTTTCTTTAGTACAACCATGGAGTATAAAACTCAATAGAAATTCTCGGTATTGCATTGGACCGCCGAGCATCGAGCCCATTGGCTTATTTAAAAAAGAAGCCGATCTCTGCTCCTCTACCTCTCTGTCAGCTTTCTCCTGCTCTAGCTTGTAGTTGTGCTCTCTCAGCTCGCCATTGGTCCTGGCCAGCTCTTTGCTCCTCTCCTCCACCAGTTGGACTCGCTCCTCTCCGTCTGCACGTAACTGGTTCAGCATTTCGGCGAAGTTTTGATGCACATCCGTTACAGCTTTGTCCTTGGCCGAGCCCTTGTTGAGCGCCTCCTCCAGCTGCTGTCGTAGCAGCGCAGCCTCGCTCTGAGCCTGGGCCAGACGCTCCTGCACGGCTTCCAGTTTGGCCGCGGCACGGCTCGACATCTCCCGTTCGCTCAGTGCCGTGGCCTCCTGTTCTTTGAGTTTGGCCTGGGCCTGGTCTTTCTCCCGGGCCAGAGTCTCCAACAGCACGGCCTTCTCCGCGATGGTCAGAGAGTTGCGATGACACTCGTTCTCCAGGCTGTTGGCGCGCGCCTCGGCCTTGCTGAGTTTCTGGGAGAGGGACTGGATGGTGTCCCGCTGGCTGCTGGCCTCAAAGATGTGTTTTTCCTGCGTGCGCTGATGCTCCTCACGGTCTCGCTGGAGCGTGCGCTCTGCGTCTGTGCGGGACGCCTGACATCTCTCGGCCTCCTGCAGCGCCCCCTGCAGTCGCGCCCTGCTCGCCTCGGCCTCGGCCTCCAGTTGCTGCCTCGCCTGCCTCTCGTGCTCCAGTTTAGCTGTGATCGCTGAGCATTCGGCCTTCAGCGCGCCGAGCTGCCCGTTGTACTGGAACACGGTCTGGGCCAAGGCCTCCTCGCTCAGTTTCATGTCCCTACGCGTGTCCTCCAGTCTCTCGCGCAGAGCGTCTCTCTCCTCCGCCAGCCGTGACTCTTCCTGCCGGCTGTGACACTGCAAGCGGTCCAGCTCGGCCCGAGAGCCGTTCAGCTCATCCTGAAGGGCTCGGTTTTGCTGCATCAACTCCCGCTCGCGGTCCGACGCCTCTGTTAGCTGGGACATGGCCTGAGAACATCAGTAATGGACACATTTCAGCATTGTTTTAAAACAGTATGTGGCTTGATTGCACTGGAGTGACACGGTGAGTTAATGCCTTAGTACAGGTCATTAGGACAAAGCCTGAAAATCTGACCAATCACATGCCAGAAAACAGGATTAGAGCAGAGAAGATCTGCTGAATGCAATAAGTTCACTGCTTATATGTGGTAAACTTAAATATTTTATTAAATAAGGGAAGAGGGGAATTGTAATTTAAATATGAACAGCTCTCAGATTTTAGGCCTACATTGATCATATGTTCACAATTATTTTCATATTCTTCATAGAGCCAGACCGATATATCGGATATTATCGGCCGATATTAGGCATTTTCCAAACTATCGGTATCGGCAGATATAATGGCCGATAAATGAATATTTCAACAGTAAAATAAAAACGGACGAAACACGCTTGAACCATGTCATGAGTGTTGGAGTTGTATAGTTTGTCCACCAGAGGGCGCTCTACACCGTTCCTGTTGGCAGCACTCGTTGAGTTGGTCACGATACATACAATTAAAAGAACATCCCCATTAGTTCTCTAAACTCAAATAAGCAGGACAAAATTTGTGACTATCATGTCCAGTTTTGCTGCTGTTAAATAAGCCGTAAATTAAAGCTAGTAATAGTAACGTTACGTTGTTACAGTGTCGTTGACTGACTGTCCTTTTAACTTTTGACGATGTGACTGAAGTATTTCTTTAATAGCGCGTGACAGTTTTAGCAATGAGACGTATCATCTCTCCTCGCCCTGTTATATTGAAAACGTATGTTTTACAATTAATTTGCAGTATGACGTCATCCATTGCTAAATTATGGCTCATCATAGACTAGCTAACCATAAAGCTAGCTAATGCCACTATCATCAGTCTGTTCTGTTGTGACAATAAAAGAAACAAGTTTCTTTTTAAAATGCATTATCATATTATTTTAGTTAAAACTCATAAATAACTACAAAAAAACTAATGTTAGGGAAATCTGTTTTGTTGTGCGTTTCTGAAAAAGAATAAATAAATGAAAAAATATCGGCCGATATATCGGATTTTAAAACCAAAAAATATTTGTATCGGTATCGGCCTTCAAAATCCTTTATCGGTCGGGCTCTAATTCTTCATGGTTTCTTAGATGGGATGGGCTAAAAGCTGCAAAGCTATGATGTCACTATATGTGATCATAAAGAAATGACCACTGATTTTAGGAATTTGTTCTCATTTATGCACATATTCTTTATGGTTTTTTAAATGGGATGTGAGCTATGACATCACTGCATATTAGACTGTAAAGATATGATGTCACTGCATATGTGATTGTTAAGCTATGGCGTCACTACACTGTAATGTGGCTGTAAAGATATTACATCACTGATAATGTGACCACATGCATTTGTTATATGCAAATATTCAAAAAATCCCGACAAACACAGATAAAGCCGGTAATATCTGAGGTGAGAGCGGTACCTCGTTGCTCTTGTTGAGGTTTCGGAGGTTCTCCTCCTCAATGTCCTGCTGCTTGCGCAGGTGGTTGTTGAGCAACTCCTCGTGTAGGGCGCGAGCACTGCGCTCATGAGACAGGAGACGTTGAGACTCGTCTCTATCCTCCTCAAGCTAAACATACAAACACACACACATAGTAATCTGTTATGCGCTGGCTTTACCAGCAGGGGCGTGTAAAATCCAACAGTCCGCTGCTGTTGACCTGTTTGATGCTGTTCTTCAGGGCTCTGATCTCCAGATCCAGACTTCGGACTTTCAGCTCGGCTTTGTGGCGCTCGTCAGCCTCGGCCCGCTGCTGCTCCTCTTTCCTCTGTAGCTGCTCACGGGTTTTATTATACAGCATGAGGGCGCTCTGATGCTTTTCCTGTTCCTGTCTCAAAAGGAATCTTTCATGAGAAGAGAGAGAGAGAGAGTCAATGGCACTGTTCCAAACCCTGGTGAGCATCTGACCTCCTTCCACATGCATTGAGAGCCTAAGTCCCGCCCCTCCGCTTCCGGCTCATGGGACCTTATTTCGGAAAAAATATGAATGGTAGTCAATGGCGAGAGACAACTTATCTTTTTATTCCGTCTGAACTGTGCCCTCAATTACACATATGATGTGTGTCTATTTAAAAGATAATTCTGAAAGTCAAAAACGTCGCAGTTTGTCATAAAACAGAAGAGTCACATTTAGTTTTATGTGAACTACATCTCCCAGGAAGAGAAACGAGATCCGCTGCTCGTGTGTGTGCAGTCTGGTACAACACACTCGTTTATAAACACGATTATAACGTAAGACTGTAGAAACAATGACAGACGTTAGCCTCAGTAAAGTTAGCTTCATTCATTGAGAGAAAATGTGCGCCTTTGGGGTTTGTAGTCTTTGAATTACGTATTTTCACAGTCTTATACCTCAACGGTTTCACATCAAACTGCGACTTTCTTGACTTTAAAATGCATCTTTTAAATTGACAAACATCATATGTGTAATTCAGGGCACAATTCAAACCAGATCAAAATATTTGTTGTCTCTCGCCATTGACTACCATTCAATATTTTTCCGAAATAAGGTCCCATGGTGGTCGACCGGAAGGGAAGGGGCTTAGGCTCTCTATTGAGTTGAGCTCACTTGAGATTGTTCATGTCGGTCTCCAGCTCCAGTCTGAGATGTTCTAGGCTGGACTTGCTGCCTCTGATCTCATCCAGCAGGATCTTGAGCTCGTTGCGTTCTTGCTCCAGCTGAGAGGTTTTATCCGCCAGACGACTGTGCCTGTCTCTCTCCCTCTGGATTGTGCGCTCATACTCATGAAACATGTTTTGTAGTTTCACTACGCTCACCGAGTCTGCAGGGTGGACATTAGACACGGGAGATTTAAAGGAGTAGTTCACTTTTTAAAAAAAAACTGTTTCTGATAATTTACTCGCCCCCGTGTCATCCAAGATGTCCGTGTCTTTCTTTCTTCAGTCGAAAAGAAATTAAGGTTTTTGATGCAAACATTACAGGATTTTCTCCATATAATGGACTTCAATGGGGTCCAAATGAGCAGAGCACAAACGCACAGATTTTATTTTTGAAATGAGCGATCGTTTCGCTAGATAAGACCCTTATTCATCGTCTGGTGTCGTTTAAAGCCCTTTGAAGCTGCACTGAAACTCTCATTTGGACCTTGAACCGTTTGGACCCCATTGAAGTCCATTATATGGAGAAAATCCATCAAAAACCTTAATTTCTTTTCGACTGAAGAAACAAAGACATGGACATCTTGGATGACATGAGGGCGAGTAAATTATCAGCAAAAGTTTTTTTTAAAAGTGAACTACTCCTTCCTTTGCTGAACATCTGATTATAGGTAACCTAATAGTTTATTGGCAGCTGATTGGATCAGAGCGACTCACCCATATAGGTCGAGTCGAGCTGTTTGAAAAGCAGAGATGCGTTGCGGTATCCAGATACTGGAGTCTCCAGCTCTTCCGTGGCTGTGTCAGAAGACTGGGTGAGATCTTCAAAATCATCCGCCATCTCCAGCTCGCCAGTGCTCTGCATAGGAGACAATACAAGCCAATAAAACAATGAGTATCCTGCGTTAAAGTCACCATAACACCACATTTCAAAAATCTGTGCAAATCTTTTTTTAAATTCAAGTGCCCTTGTAATCTTTCATCAAAATCCATTTCTTCTCAGATGGCGTTTACTGGTGCGAATACAGGGCAACCCGTCACTCACATCAGATCACAACCATCCAATCAATTCCCCCCATTAACTAAATCAAATCCGGCCCTACATTTATTTTTTTCCCAGAAATTGTTTCATTAAGATATACGTCACAATAGGGAGGGAAAAACTAGGGATGCACGATATATCGGCCACCATATCGGTATCGATATTTGCTCATTGTTATGTCATCGTTATCGGCCCAATAATAAAATTTGGCTGATGTATTGAAGCTGATAAATAATGAATTATTTCCTTCAACACTTGACACCTGAGACACTTAAGATGCGCACTGTTCAACATGATTGATCTTAGTTGCTTGAAACATAATTGGAATCAAAAACGAATGCAAAATATGCTGTCATATCGGCCACGTGAAATCATAATGAGAACATTACAATTGTGTTAGGGAATGGATTTTAATTGTGAGACTTTTGTTTTTGCAATCAGGCTTTCAAAAATTATATAAAATTTAGATTTAGATTTATCGGCCGATATATCGGCTTTCAAATATAAAGAATTATCGGTTATCGGTATCGGCCAAAATGTTCATATCGGTGCATCCCTAGGAAAAACTATTGCAAATTCATGCTGACAGGTGTATCCACTGTCATAAACAAACACTACAGGGGTTACCTTATCAAGAAAGAAATTCACCTGCTCTTTCTTACGCCTTGAAGACGGAGACCTGTCAGAACAGAGGGGTCAAGAAGAGAAAACATGATTTAAAGACAAGTCCACCGGAGAGCAAGTTTAGTGCTCTAAAATGAAGATATAATGCAGTATTCGATTACAAAATGTAAATGTAAACAATGCCCAAATGCAATCTGCACTCTTTTCATTTGTTTTCGACATTGATTGTTGGGAAAGTAGAATGATTTACACTAAAAGACTAAAAATATATTTTTCATATGTGCACAGATTCTGTACAGGCCAAGTTATACATGTAATGTTGTTGCTGCAACACTGCAACATTTAAAAATCAATATTTTATAATGAAGCTGCATTAAAAAGCATGTAAATACTGCATGTATACCTCCTGTCCTCCTCCGACAGCTCACTTAAAGTACTATCGTCAAACACAGACTCGAGGTCTCCGTTAAGGCGGGTCGCAGGCCGTTTTCCCTGAAGCGGCGGAGCTACACAGAGATTTCTCGCTTGGCTACCTACAGTTTTCTTTTCCTCCTCCTCACCATGTGGTGGTGTCCTGTCAGTACACACATCTCAACATGAAGATTTAACTAAAATAAACAAATGACAACTTCACAGCCTCCACCCGGGAAACACCCAGAGAGAAACAGAAATATCTGATGATACGGAGTGTCAGTCTTTTCATTAGAATGAAACCTAATAAAAAATATAACACAATACTTGTATAACATGGCTATAGACTTTGTTTTTAATTGCATGCATGTTAAAAATACAATAAAAAAAAAAAATCAATCCGGCTGTTTGCTGAACGTGTCCTCAGTGACTGTTTTTCCAGTAATGTTTGTAGCTCTGTTTAAGCACACAGGGTATAAGCATAGTTTCTTCAATAGATATGTTTCCATCCAACTATTTTTATGCAAATATTGGAGAAAAAAAAAAAAACACTGGATGGAAACACCAAAAAACGTGCATAAAAATACATGCATGTGCTCAACTGAGGCGCTTTCTTTATCCGAGAAGAAGACACAAACTAGAATGGAAACACAAAATAACTCTCAGAGGACATGATTGGATATCTGGACTAACCAGCGGACCAATCGCATCACAGCATGGTCATTCTGAGATGCCTGAGCTGAAGTCTTTAGTTTAATTCCCCCCCAGAAGTGTCTCACACGATTGCGTTCCCAAACCCTAGGCATCCGAACAGTCATTTATGATTGGCTTCCCAGCTTCCATTTTTATTACAGATATTTTCCACCAATTTCCCATTTTTATCTTGAACACATGGAACTGCTTGGACACAAAGGCTGCTTTATTTTATGTGATATTCCCCAATTTGTGCATAAGTTAAACTTGCAACTTTTGCATGAAAGCATTGCTTGTGTGATCGGATCAAAAAAAGAAATGATTCACAATTCACATTAGTAATGTGACATATATACCTTCTCGGACTTCTTGACAGATGTCTCGGTGAAACACTACCCTCTCTTCCCAAACACCTGCCGTCAGACATCCCGTCCGGTTGAGGTTTTGGGTTTCCAGAGTTGGTGTCAGTTTTCTTCCCTTTTCCCTGGTCAAGTTCAGCTCGTCCTCTGGATCCTCCAGAATCCCATAAAGCACTGGGCTGGTGTTCTCCCCTCATAACATCGGTCTGCTCCTTTCCACCCTAAACAGAAGATATTGAGACAATTCTAGATTTAAAAATGCAAATGCATTTAGCCAATCGATCATGCAAAACATTCATATACAGTCACATACAAGACAAAACTCAGCAAAAACACCACACAATACAGCAGGTCTTCTTTCCTTATTTAAAAAGAAGCGCAAGCAACATAAAAACACTTCAAGCCAACATCAACGGAGAAGTTCCGACCACAGAGGGTTAAAACATCTTAAATCTTAAAAACACACACTAACACTAGTATGACAGATCTTCAAGAAGATGAGGAGAGATCCTTGAGATCCATCCTTGGCACACATGCACACGACAGATGAGGTGTGTGAACTGACGCCCATTTGTGGCTTCAAGTCAATCATTTGACACCAGTGCATAAAATGAACTGATAAATATTTAATCGAGTGACAGACTGAATTCAAGACAAGTGCTGGTCAGGTCACACACTGACATCTTACAAACGTAAAGACGAGATGGAACAAGGGACCCCGTGAAATCAAGCTTTGTGGCATAGTACTACTGTAACAGTTGAATCATTGACTAATTTGACAACTCGAATTGTTGCACTACGAACACAGCACAAAATTAGGATTTGGTGCAAATTAAAAGGTGGCTTTTATGAATATAACAAAACTAATAAAAACGCACATTAAACAATTTCTAAAAATAAAAACTGAAAATTTAAACATTTAAACACTATAGGCCTAACGTTATATAAATAATAGTAAAATAACACAGATTTCATGGTGTCTTAAAATGCACGAAGAATGCAAATGATATGAAAACACTGGAATGAGTATAAAATACGCTGACAAGACAATAGCTCTGTTTATATAGCTTAATATATACAGTAGCTCTGTTATAAAAACTAGCTTAATATATAGCCTCCTGACAGCATTTTATGCACAATGCTACAACGCACAATCATGAAACCTCACAAATGACTGATTTGAAGGATTTAGGCAGCAAGTTCAGTTCTGTATAAAATGTGAATATTTACAAATTTACAATTACAACATTTAAATGTTTTCCTATGTGAATGCGTTAAATGCATCACGCGAAATCGATTTGCACCATAATCCCATATTCACAGATCCAGTGTCAACTTAATGACAGATTAGCTTTGGTAAAACAAACAATGGATCTCTGAAAGCAGCCATTGTCTTTTTGATACCTTAAAGGGTTAGTTCACCCAAAAATGAAAATTCTGTCAGTATTTACTCACCCTCATGTTGTTCCAACCCCGTAAGACCTTCGTTCATCTTCGCAACACAAATTAAGATATTTAAGATATTAAGATCGCTCCTGCATACTAGTCCATAGGCTTCTTGAGGGAATGACTCGAAAAGTCATTAAAGACATTGTTAAAATAGTCCAAGTGACTACAGGGGTCAATCTTAACTTTATCAAACGACGAGAACACTTTTTGTGCGCAAAAACAAACAAAAATAACGACTTTATTTCAACTATTCACTTCCTTCTCCATGGGCCTGTAGTCAGTTAGCGTAGTGTGATTGCGTAAAGCTACGTCACACGAAGCCTCACTATTGGCCGACGCTGGTCATGTGTGTGTGATGCGTGTGACGTACAATAACAGAAGCTTACGCTATTAAACTAGTAACCTGACTCGCGCAGAGGGAGAAATAAACCAATAGTTGGAATAAAGTCGTTATTTTTGTTGTTTTTTTGTGTTCTCGTCGTTTGATAAAGTTAAGATTGAGCCCCTGTAGTCACTTGGACTATTTTAACGATGTCTTTAATGACTTTTCGAGTCATTCCCTCAAGAAGCCTATGGACTAGTATGCAGGAGCGATCTTAATATCTTAAATATCTTAATTTGTGTTGCGAAGATGAACGAAGGTCTTACGGGGTTGGAACAACATGAGGGCGAGTAAATACTGACAGAATTTTCATTTTTGGGTGAACTAACCCTTTAAAATGCTGTCTAAGAAGGCAGCTCTCTAGGTTTGGAACAGAGCTAATGATAGGGAAGAGTTGTGTAATTTGGCTGGTCAGAGTCTGGTCAGTATTAGAAGATGACAGAACGGACGGTTCTGGAGATTTTAGACCACATATTTTGTGTTTACATGAATGAAGAACAAGAGGCAAAGCTGAAAGTCTTCATTTGTTATAAAGATTTGTTTAATCTGAGACTCCTCCCGGGGTCCTACCTCAACTCTGGACTTCCACGGGCCCTCGTCAACCTCATCGGAGTCAGAAGAAAGCACTTCTAGAGGTTTAGGTGGGACTTTCAGCTCATTCTCAGCAAGTAATGGGGGTCTGTGAGGTTGATAGTTTTCACTATTAGCCCCATCTGCTCGGTGCTCTGGCTGCTGGGCCTCGACCGTAAGGGATTCTGGGATGATTTGAGTGTTGTGTTGATCACTGGGAAGCTCTGCATCGCTGACCTCAACACTAACCGTGCGGTGGACGCTTTCGGACTGCGAGTCCTCCAGACCTGACTCTCTCTGCTCAGGGATGGGCAAGAGTATGGCGCTTCTCGCTCGGGCGGTGGGCCGCACTATTGGCTCTCCCTCTTCCTCACTGGAATCATCCTCATCCGCTTCCTTTTCCAGCTCTTTTATTTCCTCTTCATCTCTCTGGTGTGCTTGTTTCAATCCCTGCTCCAAAAGCTCACCCGGCTCCTTGTGCTCCAGTTCTCCGAACTTCTCTTTTAGTTCAGCGGCCACATTTTTGTATTGGGACTTGGTCTCCTTTTTTTCGGTCTCCACCCAGATTTTCTCATAGCGTTCCTCCCAGGGAATCTCATCTTCTTCGTCCTCTCTAGGAGAGGTTGGGAGCTTCAACGGCTTATTTATGTTTACAGGAGACGTTTGTAATGCCTCTCTTGCCTTTATTTGCATAATTGGACAAAAGAATAGAATTAACAATGAAAAACTAAAACAAGTCTGGTTGACAAGGACTTCAGACCAAACTTAGGACACACGCACGTGACTCGTGCCAACATTTCAACTAAAATAATGCACAAAAGAAGCACATTAAAGACCAAATCCACTGGAGATAAAGAAACACATCACTGTACTTTCCATTTATAGATGAGGCAAATTTACATGAGAGTTTTCCAATTTTAAATAAATTAATAAAATGATAAAAATGAAAACCGAATTAAGCTTTGTTTTCATTCTTGAAAAGTGTACTCGCTATATAAAATGTAATTATTAGATTTGAATTTTACTTTATTTTTAGCAAGTACTTTGCACTGTAAAAATTAAAATCATTTAAAAAATAAATATTTTGGTAACACTTTACAATAAGGTTAATTAGTTAACATTAGTAAATGCATTAACTAACATGAACTAACGATGAGCAATGCATTAGTTACAGTGTTTATTAATCTTTGTTAATGTTAGTTAATACAAATACAGCTGTTCGTTGTGCGTTCATGTTAGTTCACAGTCCATTAACCAATGTTAACTAATACAACCTTTGATTTTAATAACATATTAGTAAATGTTGGAATTAATATTAACTAAGATTAATAAATGCTGAAGAAGTATTGTTCACATATTGTACATGTTAACTAATGTTAACTAATGAACCTTATTGTAAAGTGTTACCAATATTTTGCCATATAATTTGCAGACAATGCAATGCTTAACCAGGCTTTCAGTTTTATTTAGCAGTATTCATTTATTTAAAATTGGCAGAAATTCTTCCATAGAGTTTGTTAAATGAATGCCGCCCACCTCATCTGCATTTTCGCTTGCGTCAGACCTGTTTTCACTCTCATCATCTTCAGCTTTGGGTTCCTGCTGATGAACTGAAGAGAACGTCAGACACATTAGTATTCAATATAAAACAGTGAACTCTGAATGTTCATCTTTACATTAAAGAGATTTACCCGAGTTGGGCTCAGTGACGTTTGGCAGTGAATTTGTTGTCTTGGCTGGACTGGAGGTGTCTGTATCCCAGTCTGATTCTGTGTATCAATAAACCATTTACTCAGAAATTCACCAGAAATGTTGATAGATGTTTCATTATCATAAAGATTTCTAGTTTCACCTTCACTCTCGGGCCTCTGATTCGAGTCCAAGCGCAGTCGTGGCAGTGGTCGTGGCTTTGAGCTGCTGTTTGGATTGAGAGATCGTGGACTAGGAAGTGGTTGTGTGCTTGAGGTTGTGGGTTTGTTTCTCTCTGGACTGGCTTCTTCATGTTCCCTGGTGTCCACTAACTGCTGCTGGGGTGTTATGGGTAATGCAGAAGATGCTGGGCTTTCAAAGACCGGTTCCTCCTCCAGCTTCTGAACTGGGAAGTTCTTACTGGCCTTACTTGTGGTGCTGGCGGAGTCCCAGTCTGACGCATCTATGAGAGGAAGTGAAAAATGCTAATTGCAAAGCCAAAAGAGACCAGTTTGGAGATTAAGACTTTTCATTGACATTCTCACTGGAGATCTTTCAAAATAAGCAGATTCACAAAAATATATATTTTTTTTTATAAAAAAAAAATATTATTTTTTTGTTGTTGAGATTTTGTCATTTGACAGAAAATGAAAAAGACCAGGGAAATGGGAAAATGGCAAGCTGAACTGAAACTTTTGCTGCCCACAGTATATGCACTAAGTGCTAGGCCACGGCTCTGATATTAGCAAGCATCAGCAGAACTATAAATGTCCAATGAAGAGCACAAGTGCTTGAGTATCTGACCTGGAGGGCATTGGCGATTTGCTTTTGTGTAAAATAAGACAAAAACATGAACACATCAGACATACATAACATACGTTCAGTTTAAAGATTGACTCAAGAATGTTTAAGTGAAGCAAAAACACATTAAGATTACCTTCGAGATCATCAGCATCCCCCAAACCAAGTTCTTCCATTAGGTCTGCAAGAACAGAGAATTTTATTCAAAAAGCCAAACTTGTTGCAATATAGTTTGTTTTTGTTAGAAAATAAAATGATGAGATGACCTGTTTTCTTATTGGCTTCTTTTGAATCCATCAGCTTACTAACAACAGACACTGGCTCTCTTTTGATCACTTTGGGCTGTGAAGAAATTTTTTACATTTGTTAATAAATTAAAAAGTTCCAAAAATTATCATTTACTTATATTTATACATTTACATTAACATTTATGCATTTGGCAGATGCCTTTATCCATTAGGGAGTCGGGACTTGCATTGAAGGTATAATATTTATATATATATTAGGGCTGTGCAAAAGTTAATTGCGATTAATCGCATCCAAAATAAAAGTCTGTGTTTACATAATATATTTGTGTGTGCTGTATATAATTATTTTGTATATATAAATACACACACATGTATATATTTAAGAAAATGTGTTATTCATATATAACATATTTATATTTATATAATATAGATTATGTATTTATAAATATATACAGAATTTAAGCGCAAATAATTCTTAAATATATACATGCATGCATAGGTATTTATATATACAAAATAATTATATACAGCACACACAAATATATTATGTAAACACAGACTTTTATTTTGGATGTGATTAATCGCAATTAACTTTTGCACAGCCCTAATATATGAAGAGTTCAGATGCAAAAGCCTCTAAATGCCATTTGAAATTTTCTTCTTTAATGATGATTTTTATCAAGCTTGTATATTTAAGTTTAGTAATTTCACTTAAATGCCAATGATAATTGCCTATTAATTGTTATTTAAGTGAAATTACTGAACATAAATATACAAGTTTGATCAAAATCATCATTAAAGAAGAAAATTTCAAATGGCATTTAGAGGCTTTTGCATCTGAACTCTTCATATATATATATATATATATATATATATATATATATATATGAACTCCTGTAAATTAAATTATCTACTGTTTGAACTACAGGAGTACATAAATATTTTAATATTAATATAATATATTGTATATAATATAAATAATATTAACTTATCAATATTCATATATTTAACATTGCTGGAGTGGAAAGTATTGAATTAAATTAATTCAGCTGACTCTATTTAACCTTAGGAATCCATTCAAACTTTGTTTTGTAGAAAATTTCAGTCTTAGGTGAGCTGTGTTGTATTCTATATTTCAAAACAAAATGTATGATTAAAACTTAAATATTCCCTACTGACATGACAATATTTAGCCTTCACAATCTAATCATTAATGCATTTTACCCAAAAAACTGCATTGCAAACGTCGGTTCTTCATTCATGAATATAAATAAACTTGAACTTTAAAACGATGCTTACTGGTATTTCAGTTTCCTTCTCTTCTACATCATCCTCGTCATTTCTTAAAACTGAAAGGCAAAAAACAAAAACTCCCATAAAAACATATCAACGGACAAAGACAAGCCTACACGTGGCGAGTGCGCAGCCATGCACATGCAGCGATGGCGGTCTCCCATGATGCCTATAAACTGGGGTTTGAGTTCACAAGCATTTATAGGAAATATTTCTGCACCGTTTAGCTACAATGTTAATTTGAATGAACTCAACATGAGCAACAATAATGGACCCACTATTAGCAAATATTAGCTGAGCGTGATCATGCCATGTCTTATCGCATGCCATGAATGCACAGATAGACAAGAGATCAAGATCCGAGGACAAAATGCTAACGTCACGGCTGGAGACACAGCAGGGGGTTATGGGTGATGATTAATCCAGCAGGACAACAGCAAATCATGAGGCAGATCAGAATGCCTACCCATCGGCCTGCAGCCTCCTGGCTGGCCTATACTTCTCAATAAATTAACCTCCCTCCCTCCTCTTACGAAGGAGGGAACGTATAAGAAGTCTACAAAAGAATTCAATGAGATTATGAAATGCAAATCTACAAATAACCTACACTTTACATTATTTAGCATAGCATGTAAAAACATCTGTTAAGCAGAAGCAATGGGAAATGTCAATATTCTCTGCAGATTTTTAAGCATGAAATGGCTGCAGAAGGCTACACAGACAAAGCTATTATGGTATTACACTTTAAAATGCAATCATATTTTTTTTTATATAGTAAAAAAATAAAAAATAAAAATAAAAGCCACTGCCAATGCAATACATACCTTCAGTGTTCTCCTCACAAATACTAGACATGGATTTATGTGATTTGGCAGGAGTTTGTAGACCACTTGCCTGCTTTTTCCGTGGGCTCTCAGAACCAGACTGTTAAGTGAAAAAAGAGAGAACATACAGTACCAGAATGAAATGCAGTCAGAGATGACCTTAGCACAGGGATTTCCAAAAGGAAACCTTTTCTTTATTTTTTTTCAATTTTACATTAATAAAACAACTATATATGCATTGATTCCTAATTTAAATAAGTAAATATAATTGTTAAAATACATAATTAGTATTTAAATATAACTACAATTTATTAAATAAATATAAATTCCTGTGTATGTATTATGAATTGCATTCATTTTATAATTTAATTAAATACACTTGTTAAATAATATAAGTATTCATTAAATATAACTACAATTTATTTAACTTATTTAATTGAAAGTTGCATTAATATCACAAATCCACAACCCTTGCAATTCCATCACAAACTTGTAGGGGTTTTCTAACCACTGGTTGGAGAAAGCCTGTTTTAGGGAGTGATGCTGAAAATGAATTAAAATGGATTACTGTATGGAGATATCACCAGCTTTGCTTTGTTTAATATGCCTTGCGACTGACCTCTGAATCCCAGGGAGAGTCGTCATTTTCATCTTTTTCGAGCCCCAATTCGGAAAGGAAATCTGAAAAAAACATGCACATCTTATCAAACGTATTACTTTATATATATATATATATATATATATATATATATATATATATATAGTCTAGGGCTGTCAAACGATTAATCGCATCCAAAATAAAAGTTTGTTTTTACATAATATATGTGGGTGCACTGTGTATAATTATTTTGTATATATATAAATACACACAAATGCATGTATATTTAAGAAAAAAATATTATTTATATATAAAATATTTGTATTTACATATCATATAAATTATATATAAATCTATATAGAGTATATACATGAAAATATTTCTTAAATATATACAAGCATGTGTGTGTATTTATATTTATAAAATTAATATACACAGTGCACCCACATATATTATGTAAACACAAACTTTTATTTTGGATGCGATTAATCGCGATTAATCGTTTGACAGCCCTAATATAGTCACAAAATTAATGGCGGAATTCTTAAAGCAAAAATCTTTCAAACCATAAACTATGAAAATGTACCTCTTCGCTGGTCTTTGCTAGTGCCACCATTTTGAGGAACATTAGACTTTTCACACATTTCCTCCAGTTCTTCCCCCTCATCCTCCTCTTCTTCTAAATCCTCCTCTTCCTCATCCTCTGTGGATGCCTCTTCCTGTTCAGAGATGAGTTGAAAGCCACCATAAACAGAGCATTTTGCACTCAAGGCACTCAAAAGGTTGTACAATTCAATGAGATTAGATATATAAACGAACAAAAGACACAAAACAATTGGGATGAGCAAGAACAGATTTGTCAGGATTGCATCTTTAGTGCCTCCTACTCATAGCTACCATATCTAGAAGCTATAACTACAAACCACAAGTCACCACCTCCTATCCACAAGCTACAGGTATCATCTACGGAGTACCTGTAATGATTCTTGCTTTGACCGTCTTTCCTCCATTACAGATTCGTTAACAGAGTTCTCCTCAAGTTCTTCCTCCTTACCACCTTCCCCATCAGAATCAGAAGTGAGATCAACTTCATCTATGACGGTATAGGGGATTTCTTCTTGAAGAGCTGGTTCTGGTTCAGTCACCTCTGTTAAACGTTCATCTGCAAACTCTACCGAAAGGTCACCCTCAAAATGAGAATTGGGGCTTGAACACTGAGATTCTGGATTCATAACTGCTTCCTGTGACTTTTGATCCAAATCCTGAGATATAAAAGGGATAGATGTCGAAGGTGAGGGACTGCAGTGTTGGGGACTTGGTGAGTGGCTTGAGAAACTTGAGTTTTGTGGACTAGTTGCAGCTGAATGTTGATGGCTAGGTCCAGCAGATTGCAGTTGCTCGGGACTAGGGTTTGTTGGGGATCTTGGACTTGACAGTTTCTTGGGACTAGGGTTCGTTGGGGATCTTGAACTTGACAGTTGCTCGGGACTAGGGTTTGTTGGGGATCTTGGACTTGACAGTTGCTCGGGACTAGGGTTTGTTGGGGATCTTGGACTTGACAGTTGCTTGGGACCAGGGTTCGTTGGGGATCTTGGACTTGACAGTTGCTTGGGACTAGGGTTCGTTGGGGATCTTGGACTTGACAGTTGCTTGGGACTAGGGTTTATTGGGGATCTTGTACTTGACAGTTGCTCGGGACTAGGGTTCGTTGGGGATCTTGGACTTGACAGTTGCTTGGGACTAGGGTTCGTTGGGGATCTTGGACTTGACAGTTGTTCGGGACTAGGGTTTGTTGGGGATCTTGGACTTGACAGTTGCTTGGGACTAGGGTTCGTTGGGGATCTTGGACTTGACAGTTGCTTGGGACTAGGGTTCGTTGGGGATCTTGGACTTGACAGTTGCTTGGGACTAGGGTTCGTTGGGGATCTTGGACTTGACAGTTGCTTGGGACTAGGGTTTATTGGGGATCTTGGACTTGACAGTTGCTCGGGACTAGGGTTTGTTGGGGATCTTGGACTTGACAGTTGCTCGGGACTAGGGTTTGTTGGGGATCTTGGACTTGACAGTTGCTTGGGACTAGGGTTTGTTGGGGATCCCGGACTTGACAGTTGCTCGGGACTAGGGTTTGTTGGGGATCTTGGACTTGACAGTTGCTTGGGACTAGGGTTCGTTGGGGATCTTGGACTTGACAGTTGCTTGGGACTAGGGTTCGTTGGGGATCTTGGACTTGACAGTTGCTTGGGACTAGGGTTTATTGGGGATCTTGGACTTGACAGTTGCTCGGGACTAGGGTTTGTTGGGGATCTTGGACTTGACAGTTGCTCGGGACTAGGGTTTGTTGGGGATCTTGGACTTGACAGTTGCTTGGGACTAGGGTTTGTTGGGGATCTTGGACTTGACAGTTGCTCGGGACTAGGGTTTGTTGGGGATCTTGGACTTGACAGTTGCTCGGGACTAGGGTTTGTTGGGGATCTTGGACTTGACAGTTGCTTGGGACTAGGGTTTGTTGGGGATCCCGGACTTGACAGTTGCTCGGGACTAGGGTTTGTTGGGGATCTTGGACTTGACAGTTGCTCGGGACTAGGGTTTGTTGGGGATCTTGGACTTGACAGTTGCTCGGGACTAGGGTTTGTTGGGGATCTTGGACTTGACAGTTGCTCGGGACTACGGTTCGTTGGTGAACTTGGACTTGACAGTTGCTTGGGACTAGGGTTCGCTGGGGATCTTGGACTTGTTGGAACTGGGCTCATTGCTTTTGAAGGATTTGGGCTACCTAAATGAGATCTCATCAGGAATGGTTTTTCCAATTTTGCTGGACTAGATGTGGTGGAACATTCTGGCCTAATGTTGGAGAGATTTGGAGACTGTGGTCGACTTGCATCATCATCATCTTCCACCATAGATTCATCATCAGATAAATCAGAGATCTGATCTATTTCAGAAACTTTGACCGAGCCACTTGCAAAGTCATATTGCATTTGCTTCTCTTGACTGTCATCCTCTTTACTTATACTGTGGTCTTCATCACTTTGGCCAACAATCATGGACACTGGTATAGTTTCACTGTCACTGTGTTCCATGCGCTCAGGTTCTTCATGTAAAGGACCCTGGGAAAGGTCCTCAACAGGTTCTAACAATGACCTTTCTGAAGTGTTGTTATCCTGAAGCAAAGTCTCTTGATGTTGATCTTTTTCTGCACATGGCATCCCCTCAGCATCTTCATCTCCTTCAGGTGTCCCAACACTTTTGTCTGAGCCAGACTCCCAAGACACCTCAGGGCTCTCCGGTTCCTTCTGTCCCAGCAAGGTCAGAAATAAGTTCAGAGGCTTTTTCGTTTGGGCTTCTTCCTCTTCCCCAACATCATCCCAATCATCTTCATTATCATCTGCAGTAGTTATGGCTTTTGACTTAGGTGATGTTGAAGGAACATCCAGAATGCTGGTGTCAAGCTCAGCTATTCCTTCATTGGGTCTCAGTTGAATTTCATCTTGAAGTTGTGCATCTTCACATACAAGGGTTGTCCCTTGAAAGGAGTCCACTTTTAAACTGTTCTTCCCAGTTCTCAACAGCTCCTCATCTTGATCGTCATCATCATCCCAATCATCATCACTATGGTTTTCATTCTTGCTCTCTATTGGATTTCTGTGTGATGTTCTGTCCACACTTGGTAAAGAAGTTGGACTGTCATCTTTGTCCTCCTCATCTGAGAATCTTGCCTCGACCCTGACGGCTGACACAAGACAACCATCCTCTAAATCGAGAATCCCTGGAATTGGACCTCCAAAAAGTGGCTTTTCAGGAATAGGTTCATTCACATCCATTTTCTCTGGTGCCTCTTGTTCTTGATCTGTCCTTACCTCCAGAGGATTGTCCCCTGAGACACTGTCCTCCATCCTTTCCCGTCCAGGTTGGTTGACCTTTTCAACAGCCTTATCCAATTGTTCTGCTGTACTAAGAGCAATGGTTTTAGGCAACCCAGGAATGTTTGTAGTCTCACAAGCCACAGCAGGATCCTCTTCTTCCTCTTCCTCTTCACCATCCTCATCTTCATCATAATCATCTTCTTCGTCATCATCATCATCATCATCATCATCGTCTTCTTCTTCTTCCTCCTCTTCCTCCTCACCTTCTTCTTCTTCACCATCATCCTCATCCTCATCTTCATCTTCTTCAGATTCGTCCTCTTGACTTTCGTTGCCTTCCATGTCTAGTTTACTACCAGAGGGCAGCTCTGTTAACTCGCTCTGCCCACCTGACACAGCAGGGTGGAATGGGTTGAATAAAAACAATAAAGAAGGAAAGAGTTAGACAGTGTACCACACAGAGACACTGAGGGTTACCTTATGGGTGCTGCTGAAGGGGGTGGAGCTCATCTGGGGTGGGTGGGGTAAAGAGGCAGGTGGGGTTGCTACAGGGGGTTGGAGGGAGGTACTGCTGGAGGGGATTGGTCTGGACAGAGGTGGTCGGTTTAAACCCTTATCCTCACTGTCCAGTTCTGACTCTGACCCGCTCCAGGATTTGTCTGCATCCCGATCTGCTATGACTACAGACAGAGACAGCATATCACTGCACATTGTGGTGGCAGCTGGATCAGAAAAAACACCTTTTTCTTTTACTTTTTGATACAGACATAACCTTGTCTTATTTCTCTAAAATGCAACATGAACTGTGCAGTTTTTTAGACTAAGTTGATTTTAAGCAGCAAAAATTATGATAAAATTTTTGTCAGATTTAAATTGGGAACTGAAACAAGTTTAGCCAATTTAATCTTTCCGCATTAAAATTGGATGAGAATTAGAGCCAGACCGATATATCGGCAGACCGATATTATCGTCCGATATTAGGCATTTTCCAAACTATCGGTATCGGCAGAAATAAAAATGGACGAAACACGCTTGAACCATGTCATGAGTGTTGGAGTTGTATAGTTTGTCCACCAGAGGGCACTCTACACGTTCCTGTTGGCAACACTCGTTGAGTTGGTCACGATACATACAATTAAAAGAACATCCCCATCAGTTCTCTAAACTCAAATAAGCATGACAAAATTTGTGACTAATCATCTCTAGTTTAAAAAAATCAAAAATAAATAAATAAAATATCGGCCGATATATCGGAATATCGGATTTTAAAACCCAAAAATATTTCTATCGGTATCGGCCTTCAAAATCCTTTATCAGTCGGGCTCTAATGAGAATGGTACTTGTGTGCCTACAACTTGTGTGGTCTGTGTGGGACTTTGCTACAGGGCAGGGGCTTTAAATTACAGCACAGCCGCAATTCATCCAAAAACATTTAACATTCAAACTTACCTTCTATTTTTTCCCTTTTCGAGGTGCTTATGAGTTTCTTTAAATTTACTTTCTGTTTCTGTAAAAAAATAAATGAATAAATATATATATATATATTTTTTTTTTTTTTCCCTGTCCAATATTACAATATATCACATGTTATTCAGAACTGTTTTCACGAGCTCAGAAATACCTTTGGGCTCAAATCTAACTCGTCATCATCGTCTGATGAAGGCCAGGAATCAGCAGCACCACTTTTTGATGCTCTGCAAATTAGTCAATTTTAGTGCTTAACAAACTTGCTGCTGTCATCATCCATTCCTGTCTGATATATCAATGACATCTCACCTGCTGATGGAGTCTGTGTGGGAAATGTCCTCTGTATCTGAGGAGAGATATGAAAGAGATTAGGACAAAATAGACCCAAGCCAATAAATAATCCATAGCGGGTACAAGCACTTTCTACCAATACAGCTATAGATCAAATTATCTAGATCATTTCACAATTATTCATATGTGGTGAACTGATGACCGATTCACACCAATAAAATATGTTTTTGTCCGGTTCCCGGTTAAGAGCAATAAGCCTTTAGGTCTATTACATTTTCTAATATACAGTAAATGCAGGGCAAAATAAGTGGCATTACAACTTACAAGTGATTGCTGATAAAGTGGGACCTTATTTTATATATGTATAATACAACAAGAAATCTGTTGTTAAATATTTTTTAATGCACACTGAAGAATGCTAATGACTGGATTTTTTTCATTAAGTCTCGCTTTTCATTTCGATCTTGGTGCGAAACACGAATAAGTCCAGCGTACAACACACAAAGAAGTATAGCTCCTATGTCATGACTCATGACACACCATGGTTTACCATTCAGCAACATGAATGCACTTATACTACTCTTATGTAGTGTCTTAATCTCTGAGATGGTAAAGAATGACGCGTCTGATCTACAGCACATCAGTCGGCACACATTGGCAATACCTTTCCCTGCTACTGCAGAGCTGCCTCCTGCTGCTACAACAGATGAGTGTGAAGTGGGAAAACAGAACTAAATCAAAACACTGCAGGTACACTGACATACATATTTATGAAGACAGACGACACCGAAAACCTTTTGCAAATGGTCTCACCATCTTTATCTAGAGCTGGCCCTCCTAAGGGCAAACCGGCCACAATACCGCCTGGACTGCTGAGGACGGACGTCTGTTTCTTTTTGCTTGCGGTAAAATGGGAAGGTGACTGAAGGGATCTTCTCTTTGTCCCATGCTCAATGATCAGATGTGAACATCTGGAACAGAACGATTGATTTGAGCTCCAACAAGCTTAAAGGGATGCTCCACTTTTTTTGGAAATAGGCTCATTTTACAACTCCTCCTAGAGATAAACTGTTGAGTTTTACCGTTTTTGAATCCATTCAGCCGATCTCCGGTTCTGGCTGTACCACTTTTAGCATAGCTTAGCATACATCATTGAAGTGGGCAAGACCGTTAGCATTTCTCAAAAAAAAAAAAAAAAATTGACCAAAGAGTTTCAATATTTTTCCTATTTAAAACTTGAATCTTCTGTAGTTACATCGTGCACTAAGACCGACGGAAAATGTAAAGTTGCGATTTTCCAGGCTGATATGGTTAGGAACTATACTCTCATTCCTGCGCAATAATCAGGAAACTTCACTGTCGCACCATGAGTGCAGCACGCGCAATGAAAATAGGCTAATACCGAGCTGGGCACTATTTTCAGGCGCTGCGTCATATCATTACGCCTGCAGCACTCAGGGTACGACAGTAAAGTTTCTTCTTTTTTTTTTTGAGAAATGCTAATGGTCTTGCCCACTTCAATGATGTATGCTAAGCTATGCTAAAAGTGGTACCGCCAGAACCGGAGATTGACTGAAAAATGGTAAAACTCGTTGAGTTGAAAATGAGAAAATGAGCCTATTTCCAAAAAAAAGTGGAGTATCCCTTTAAAACAAAGCTGTCAATATAAGCATTGCATTTTCATTATAATAACAAAACAATGCAAAATATAGCATTACAATCACCTTTTCAATTAATCTTTACAATGTATCAAAATTAGATAATAGCAACACAAATCACCAACATTCATTATACAAATTTTGTATTTAACGTCACGTCAAATGGTGAGAAAGCCTTACGCGTGGTGTCCATTCATGACGGCATAATCATCAGAAGACCATCCCTTATCATCTTTCACCATGATGTCAGCATCATACTGCAGGAGCAAACGCACCATGCTGATTTGTCCATTGCACGCCACTATCATCAATGCAGACCTTAACAACGGCAGATAGAATGTACATCAGTTTTGCTATAGCTAACTAAAAATGCAACAAAAAAAAAGCATTTATGTAAATGAATGTGTGCAATTTTGCTCTTTGAGCATGAAAAGGTCTGCAAAGTTATTCTCTATATCAGTGTCAGCGTTTCTGAACTCCCGGGAACAATCACGTCACAATATTCCTCTTTCAAATTATTAATACGCAGAATAAAGGGGCGGGGCCTGGTTGAGTTAGTTATTAGTGTGTTGAAACTGGGGGTTATGGAAAGGGGCGGGACATTTCTCAGTGCTTGACCCAATCAGATCACACTATGCTTTTCTGAAGGTGGGGCTTCATAGAGTCAGGAAGTAAACAGAGCGTTACTGACAGACTGGGAAGAGAGGAGCCGCAACAATGTCGAATATGTAAAGAATAATGTGTTTGTTGAACATTCAAGCACGAACACCTATTCTAGAAGTGCATCTTTTTTACCGTTGCTCCTGGTTCTTGACATTAACATCTGCTCCCTCTTTCAGTAGAAGCTCTGTCATGTCTGTGTGGTTTTCCATCACAGCCAGCATCAGTGGAGTGTTGCCATCCTGTCAATCAAAACAACAAAACATCTCAAGACTGGATTAACAAATTATTTTTGGTGCACCCTGCCATAAGTTATAGTAATAGGCATTTATAGTGTATACTCCTAGTTTGCTACATCTAATTATTAAAAACTGTTTTCGTGGATTACTGGGATGTACGTGTATGTTTGTATGAGTGAGTATGTTGTTGTAACATATGGTACTTTATTTTTTTGTGAATGTGTGTTTTTTATTGTGTCTCTTTGTATCTTGTCAGTACCTATCTATTCGAACTAAGGGCTTCTACTTATAAGCTTTTGGTGCTTCTTTGGGAGACCCATTTCACTGTAACCAATCTAGTCTGTACCTTAAAACTGTATTATTGTAAAGCTTGAAGAGGTATTGTGAATAAACTTGTGAACTAAAAACTTGTAAACTAAAAACTCTTCACATTTATGTGAATGTACACCTTTTGTGAGTGGTTATTAAGTTTCACCTTGTTCTGTGCATTGATGTTGGCCGAGTGCTCTAGGAGCTGCAGCGCCACAGGTAGGGAGGGGATGCGGGCGGCCAGGTGCAGTGCCGTGTTTCCATTGATGTCCACCAGATTGGGGTCAGCCTCATGTTCCAGGAGCAAAGACACCGAGCGGTCTTGCTCACACTGAACCGCCTACAAGCCAAAAGACACATGCATGACCACAAATACATAGCTGTCAGCATTTATTTATATTCATAGTAGGGACGGGCAACGATTAATCGCGATTAATCGCATCCAAAACAAAAGTTTGTGTTTACATGATATATGTGTGTGCAGTGTGTATAATTAATTTGTATATAAAAATACCCACACATGCATGTGTATATTTAAGAAAAATGTGTTATTAATATATCAAATATTTATACATAACTAATATCATATAAAAATATAAATATTTGATATATTAATAACACATTTTTCTTTTGTACAAATTGTATAATTAATTTGAATATATAAATACACACACATGCAAATATTTCTTAAATATATACATGCATGTGTGTGTATTTATATATACAAATTAATTATACACATTACACACACATATATTATGTAAACATAAACTTTTATTTTGGATGCGATTAATCGTTGCCCATCCCTAATTCATAGAATTCGCATAATTCAACAAGAACAAACCGAGTGTAGTACCTTCATCAAGGCGGAGCGATTCTGATTGTCACATAAGTTTAGCTTCACTTTGCTCTCCACCAAAAACTGAACGACATCTGTGTGTCCGCAGGAACAAGCGATGTGCAGCGCAGTTCTGAGGGCAAATAAATTCAAATAAGAATAGCAATTATTTTTAACTTTTACTCAGCACGGATGCATGAAATTGATCAAAAGTGACAGTAAAGACATGTAAAGTTAGTTACAAAAAAAATAAACACTGTTCTTTCAAACTTTCTATTCATCATGTAAAAAAGCATCACATTTCCCACATAAATTAAGCAGCACTGTAATAATTAACTGTTTCCAACATTGATAAAAACTGAACATCAGATCATCTGACATTTCAAGGATCATGTGACACTGAAGTAATGATGCTGAAAATTCAGCTTTGATCACAGGAATAAATTACATTTGAACATATTCAAATAGAAAACATTTAAAAGTGTAATAATATTTCACAATATTACTGTTTATTTTTGGTCAAATAAATGCAACAACAAATTCTACGTTGAGAGCCTGGAGTCATTTAAAAGATGCATACAGAATAATTTCAACAGGTCAACACGAAATCACAATCATTAAAGTCGATAAAGTGGTAAATTATGTTGTTGTTGTTTTTTTTGCATTACTCAAGTACTCGCATCACTTCATAAAATTAAAGTTAAATCACTGGAGTCACGAGGATGTCTTTACTACTATTCTGGGCATTGAACGTGGTAGTTGCGTAGCTGTCAATGGAGGGTTTTAAAATATATTCATTTTGTTTCCGAAGATGAATGAAAGTCTTGCGGGTTTGGATTGGAACAACATGATGGCGAGTAATTAACGACAGACATTTTCATTTTTGGGTGAACTATCCCTTTAGTCTAATCACTGTGGTTGGTTGGAAAGATTTTGCATTTTCTATAATACATTTTGCTCTGTCCACAACAAAATATGTCAACGTTTACCTGTTTTCCTTATCCAGCTGATTTAAATCATTCTTCTTGGCCAGCTGTCTGAGTTTGGCCACATCTCCGCTGAATGCAGCCTTGTGGACCTTCCCGAGGTCTTTCTCCTTGACGTCGTAGCTGGCCGAAAGCACGCTCGCCGTCTCAGAGGGACTCGGGGAGCCCTTCTTCTTCTTGAAGTTGAATATTTTCTTCATGGTCGGTGGCGGCACATCTCCATCAGCGGATTGTCATTCACCTGACGTTCAGGCACTGGTCACCTTGCATGTCTTGCCCATCCTCCAAAAATAAACCATGCAAAGAGGATTAGAGTTATTTAACAATGACAGAGGCGCAGGACAGTCTGTCGTCTGCACTTTCAATCTAAGTATACTCATTCAAATAGGCTGTACAAATAAAAGCTACATTCTTTAAAGTTAATTATAAAGCCCACACATCCCTTACAAAAAGTAACACTGTGTGTGTGGTAGTATCAGACAGATGGTAATATCATGGTATTTTGTGACTGCCATGTTCATATAGCATGGTGTTTGAAAGGCACTCCAAAACACTTAAAATACATTGGTATTACCATGGTACATGTTGGCTAGTAATCATTGTTTTTATTTTAAATATATATGCTATAAACCAGATAACTATATAAAGTATTATATTGGAAGCCAATGCGACAAACATAACATACAAAACACGGTTGTTTAGATAGTAAAGCAATACATACGTAACGCTATGTGTTCAGAAAAGCTTATAATCACCTCAACATGTAACTTAACGTTAAATCTGCAATTACAGGCGAGCAAACAACCTGGCGAGCTTACAAACTCACCTTCATTTTCGTTTCATTGTAGGGCGTCTGCCAAGTATATTTTAAGGGAGAAACAACACGAAAAGTATTTCAAATGATGTTTGCTATCGAGTAAGAAACATCGAGTTAGCTCAAACGATGAGCCGTTTACGACGCTAGCAGCAAGCTAGCTGCTTCTGTCACCATGGTAACAGTGTGAAGATCGTAATTGATCTTAATAATTCATTATACATGTGTGTACTGCGTATTTACGGTTGAAGAATTTGGAGAATTGTTGGAAATGCGTTTTAAACCTGACCTTTTGTTATGTTTAATAATATGAATGATATTAATATCAAAGCACGGTGACGGAACTCGTTATGTTTTGCTCTTTTTTTTACACGGAATGGTAATCACGGGAACGTCACAAAGGAGGCGGGATTTCAATGCTCTCATCCTGCATTGGACGGTTTGAATCAATGACAGACAAATGTATCCTCCAATGAGATCACAGCTCGTCCTTTCCTGCACCTTCTTGGTTGTGATTGGCCAAATTTGTCGTGACAGACAGCCATATTGTTCAATTACACACAAGGAATCTTTGGACCCACCCAGAATTGATTGTTCGTAGCTTATTATTCGTCAGAGAAAATTTTTAAACTATTTAAACAGTTTTTGAGCGGGTGCCTGGAAAACAAGAGGCAGTCCTGTCGAATAGAGGAAAAAGTAACTTCAATTTAGCATCTAATGTTACAAACAAAATAGAAGGAAGGATCATAACTTTGGAGCATCGGGTCTTTGTTTTTGCAGTGCTATTGTTCGAAAAGGTCGAAAGAGGTAACTTAGATGACGTTTTGTATCCTATTATTATACAACTGTTTAACTTAGGTTAGCAGGGTTGGCTAGCGATTCTCAATGTAACGGTTGTCATACTTAAATCCTTTTAACGTTAATTGTATTATTCTTACGTCATAGATGTAACTTAGATGTAATATCTTCTAACGTTATTGGTGTTTATCAAACTGAAGCATGTTCATCTGCGTCTCAGTGTTTGAACTGAGATCGGTAAATCGTTAAATATTTAACATTTATGAATCCCATATAAGGTAAGTTAGTTTATGTTATCATTTGTTTATTTGATAAAATAATAAACCGAATCAAAAAGCTATGTTGTGCTTTTGCAATTAAGAGTGTGTTGAAATTGTATGTAATTATCTAACGTAAGTTAACTTTCGTCAAACGTATTCAATTGGTGAAATGTCTTTGCTTTCTTGAGAAAAACCGTCTAAATGCTTAATTTCACTGTTGTAAAATGACAGATTTGTTTTTTTTTTAAAAAAAAGCAAGTTTTATGTCAACCTTTGTTGACCTGGATGCAAATGAAATGCATATGAATGATTAACTAGACATTTTGCTCTTTGTTAGGGTTTCAAATTTTCCACTTAAATGCATGTTTTTCCATTTTCATCGAAAACTCAACAGAACAGTGTATATGTAGTGTAATTGAATGCATTTTTTTTAGATGACGGCATGATCTCAGTGCCAGTCAGATCATAGTGCAAAGTTAATTTCTGATCAGTTTGCATGCAAGTTTTTCATCCCTCAAAATGCCATTGTTTACACATGTTTCAGAGCCTTCCTTCTGTATTTCCAGGGGCGCCACCATGAGTTCCTTGCCAGAGGCTACGCGCTCCCTCATGCAGGTTTTTAATGGGAAGCTGCAGGATTTTACCAATGAGATTGATACTGTCCACATGGTGTGGCTGGAGGAGATCCAGCAGGAAGCGCATCGCATGTTTTCAAGGTGAAAGAGACCGATAATGTCAGGTGGAGTGTGTTATACGCTTCATACCTTTTCTGCACACATATATTCGGTCACTAGTGAGTGTTTATGTGAGAGTCACTGTTACCGTCGTGGTCATTAGACGTGTTGATAAAAAATATGTTTTGTTGTACAGTGACTTCAGCACAGAGCCGGAGCTCATGCCGAAGACTCCATCGCAGAAAAAGACAAACCGCAGGAGACGAGTGTCGACAGAGCTCAATGAGTCTCGCAGCAAAAGACGGTGAGGGCTTTGACCATGCTGGTTTTTAATATTTTAGTTTATTTGCATGGTAAAAAAACTTTTGTATGTCTATAGAAACATCTTTAGAGGTATTTTAAGGGTATAGTTCGCCCCAAAAATGAATACTCGCCCTCATGTCAAACCCTTAAGATTTTCGTTCATCTTCGAAACACAAATTAAAGGTGCATTGCGCAACATTTCGTGTTAAAAATAGCCGTTTTTCTAACCCATACATGCTTAAACGATTGCCTGATGGGCTGAACGAGCCCTTCTCGGATCACTGCGATTGCCTCTATAATCCTGTCCGGTGAAATAAATATTCGGGACGGATTTGAGACTAGGTTGAGACGTCAAGCGCGTTCACGCTCACCTGGTGATATCTGGAAGGTTTGTGTATTCACCGCCATTCTCCGTATCAGAGAAGACAACTCCAGCGACAAAACTTTAGTCAACGTTCCACAAAAGTAGATGGAGCTAGGTGCAGTTTCGCTTGTCGCCAGAGGGGGCGTAGTTCTGCAAAACCTCAGACTTGCGCAATGCACCTTTAAGATATTTTTTGATTAAATCGGAGACTTCTGTTCTTCCGCTGACACTGATGTTTAGTGGACACTGATGACACCGTCTAACTTAGTGGTTTAGTCCAAGTTTTCTGAAGAGACTCGATTGCTTCATATCATGATCAGCTTTAATTTAGCCTGAAAAAAAAATCCTGATTATTAATATGAATTATGTATGGCTCTTGATATCTCTCCTTTAATATACATGCATCCAAATTGTCCTCTTTTTTCTCTTCTCTATACTGATGGTAAAAGATGTCATTGTCTGTCTTTTAGGTTTTCCCAGGGGAAACGCAGCAACTTGCGTCGCTCCTCGGTCCAGATGACCCTTAACACCATCTCTGAGCTTGTTGCGCCACACATCCCGAACGACAGCTCAGAGAGCCTCGTGGAGGGACCAGCTCGCCGCACACGTCGCAACAAAACCGCCGCTCCGGCGGAAACCGAGCCCGTCAAGCGCAGCACCCGTAATAAAGGTGGCACCGTGACCAAAGAGGTGGCAGAGAGCGTTCCAGAACCCGTTGAGGTGCAGGATCAGATCCTGGTGTCTGAAGCCGTGGTGAAGATTCCCTCCTCGGAGCGTCTGAGCGCGGATTTGATGCTGGACGCTGGTTTGTCTCCAGGCCGATCCGCCAACAAAATCCCCATCGCTGGGGACCGACCTCGGGGCTCGTCCCGGACGTCGGCTCGCCGCTCGCAGGTTGTGCGGCGCTCTCTGGTGGGACTCAGGCATAGCATGACCCAGGAAGCTGTTCGTAGGGCGTCCCGGCGCTCTTTCCTGAAGAAGAAAGCCAGACTGGGCAACTCGACCTGCAGCAGCTCCGTCAGCGGTGAGGCCGTTCACAGTCACCGTCAGAACTGAACTTCACTAAACTGAAATGAATAACTTCGGTCTAGAGCCCGACCGATAAAGGATTTTGAAGGCCGATACTGATACAAATATTTTTGGGTTTTAAAATCCGATATTCTGATATCGGCTTTTTTTATTATTATTAAATATTGTTGGATTTCACACACGTGTAAAAGAAAAGCTAACTTTTTTTCACAAGATGTGTTTGATACTTTTTCTCTACGTCTAAATGTTCACTCCTCGCAAGTATAACTTACATTTTACACTGCAGGGACTGTAACTAGAGATATGCGAGTTATAAATACAGTAATCATTACTTTATTTAGGCAGAAAAAGTTCATTGTGGTTTCCAAGCTCATTAATGTTAACGTTTGCGGTCTTCCACTGATGATAGTGGCGTTAGCTAGCTTTGTGGTCAGCTAGTCTATGATGAGCCATAATTTAGCAATAGATAACATCATACTGCAAGTTGTAAAACATACATTTTCAATATAACAGGCCAAGGAGAGATGATTAAAGCGTGTTTCGCCCGTTTTTATTTATTTATATTTTTTAAATATTCATTTATCGGCCATTATGACTGCCGATACCGACGTTTTGGAAAATGCCGATATATCGGTCTGGCTCTACTTCGGTCTGTGTTATGAATGCCTCATTAGGATTTATTGCTTTGTTCATACAGTCACCCACACTTTTTAAAGTGATTTTTAAGTTTGTATATTAACTGAATGATGATGTTTTTGTCTTTCCAGAAGACATTTGTATGGACATTGAACCAGAGGACATCGAGAACAAAGAAGAACAGTGAGTTTGCTTTGAAATTTCAGCATATGATGTATTTTTTTTCTGGGATTTTAAACTCGCAACCTTTTGGTTTTCAATCGAGATCATTTAAACGCCATTTCTCGCTTCTATTTAGGGTTGATGCACCACAAAAGACGGCCGACCCGCCCACTGAAACCAACCCTGAACCTGAAATCGTCCAAATTGAGGTGAGAAATTTCTGCTTTACCCTCTGTTTACACGAGAGCGTAAAAATATTTTATCGGATGTGCCTTTCGTTTACATTTCAACGGTGTTTTTAGGGCTTAAAAAAACACAAAAAAGTGAAACCACCCTCCAGAGTGGATATCCTAAAGGGTAAAAACGCAAAAGTCTGATTGACCGGGAAGGTTGTACGCGGGTGCAGACTTGGTGGTGTTGTGTGGGAGTGCTCCACATTGCCATCTAGCCACCTGGAGTGCATACTACATCGAATTTCACACACTTTTGCGTCACCATATGCACACGGATTTCCCACCCATAACTCTAGTCTAAACTCAGAATAAAAAGTGATAACGCCACGCCACTTTTGCGTTTTCTCTTCAGATAGTTTCTGTGTAAACAAGAGTCACAAAACGCCCCCATTTAACCAAACACGGCCATTTCTGTTATGAGGATAGTAAGTGTTTTATTGCATAGTGCAATTTGTAAATAAATAACTCATGGCTGTGTGATATCATAGGAGCCTGAACCTGAGAAGACTGAAGAAAAGGAAACTGAGTTAAAAGAAGACAAACTACCAGAAGCGATTTCTGAATCTCCCAGCAGCGTTGAGAACAGTCGCATCACACGATCCATGGCTCGTACTTCAGACTCGGGTACAAGTCTAACAGAGGAAATACAGAAGGTGTATATGTGATGGGATGTGTATAGTAAGGTTTGATTTGCTGCATTTATCTTCCTGTAATAGATGAGAGTAGCAGGTCAAAGTCCAGAGGAGATGTCCGGTAAGCACATCATCAACTCGAATTCTTCATTAGAGTTGGTGGATTACTGTAAATGTTTTCTAATGGTCTTTGTGGTTGTCCGTCAGGCCTATGCGTTCAGGCTCCAAGCGTCAGGCAGCTGAGTCAAGAATTCGGGAAATCAACACACCCAAGAAGAAGCCGTCTCCTCCGAAGAAATGCCTCACGGTAGGAGTGTCTCTGACCATCGTAATGCCTGAAATGAAGCCAAAACATTGAGTCTTGTAAAGAAAGGCTTTCTGCAGAAGTCCACTGTGTTCGTAAAAAGGATTTGTATTGATTTTTGGGTTGTTGCTTGAGGATTGGATTAGCCAATCTTTGATCAGTGCAGACCATCATCCATTATGTGTCTGTTTGTGTGCATGTAGAGTATCGCTCCACACATGCGCTCGTTCGTGCACACGGTGCAGAAGAACCAGATGCTGATGATGACGCCGGGATCTCTGGGCCGCAACAGCGTCATGAAGTCCTTCATCAAACAATCTGCCACCAAAACCGATGTCAAGGTGGGCACACCTTTCAGAGTGTTCCTCTGTGCATGTTGTTTTTTTGTTTTTTACACTCACTCACTAAAAAAATAGCATTAATAGATCAATTAAATTAGTCATTTTGCACTTTAAAATTCACAGACACTAGTCCATATTGCGATTTGATTACAGGATAGTTCACCCCAAAATGTTAAAGGAGTAGTTCACTTTTAAAAAAACTTTTGCTGATAATTTACTCACCCCCGTGTCATCCAAGATGTCCATGTCTTTCTTTCTTCAGTCGAAAAGAAATGACGGTTTTTGATAAACATTCCAGGATTTTCTCCATGTAATGGACTTCAATGGGGTCCAAACGGTTCAAGGTCCAAATGAGAGTTTCAGTGCAGCTTCAAAGGGCTTTAAACGACACCAGACGATGAATAAGGGTCTTATCAAGCGAAACGATCGCTCATTTAATAAATAAGTAAAAAAGTTTAAGTTTTATAAGCTCAAATGCTCGCCTTGCTCTGTTCTGTGATGCGCGTTCGTGACTCTCCTGTTCGAACTCGTTCATCAAAATGAACAAATCTTTTTCCGAGTCATGACTCGAAGGGTCCTCGATAAGACCCTTATTCATCATCTGGTGTCGTTTAAAGCCCTTTGAACAGTTTGCACTGAAACTCTCATTTGGACCTTGAACCGTTTGGTTCCCATTGAAGTCCATTATATGGAGAAAATCCTGGAATGTTTTCATCAAAAACCTTAATTTCTTTTCGACTGAAGAAAGAAAGACATGGACATCTTGGATGACACGGGGGTGAGTAAATTATCAGCGAAAGTTTTTTTTAAAAGTGAACTACTCCTTTAATTGTCATTACTCACCCTCATGTTCCAAACCTGTACGTTTTTCTTCTGTTAAACAAATGAAGATATTGTTCGGATATTTTAAAGAATTTCATTGACAAAAACAAAAATACTATGGAAGTCGCATACTATGGTTACCAACACTGTTTAAAATACTTTGTGTTCAACTCATACAGGTTTGTCTGAGTTTTTGGGTGAACTATCCCTTTAAGTGTAGAGCCCTACTTTCAATTTATTTGTCTGAAATTTGCTCAATTCTGTGACATTCGGTGTTATACGGTAAATTCCGCCCACATTGTGGAAATCTTAGGGCTGTAATTTTTCTATTTGAGAGTAGTGTGATTTATTAGGTTACTTCAATGGTAAATGCATGCTTCTCCGTGTAGAAGTGGTTTTAGTTGGTAACTGTACTTCCTGTCTCTCCCCCTCAGTTGGTCTCGGTCTCTGTGGTGAGTATAAACAAACGGTGTCATTTCCATGTCAGGTCAACTATTACAATTCCCTTTTGTTTGACACTTCCTGTTTTCTTACATTATAAATGGGCTTCTTTTTTTAATTTGCTTAATCCCGTACCTCATAAGCCCCTTTCTCACAGTGCGGCGATCCCATAAAATTGCTAGAGTGCCTTCTGTGTAAAGGCAAACGCAAACGCATCCCGGGAATGATTCTGGAATGGGGACCTAGTAATATAGCCGTCGGCTAAGAGGTGTGTCGTAATGATGAAAGGTCATTCGCCAGATTAGTGAAATGCTCTAGTTTATGATCGAATCAGGGATTAAATGCACTAGCGTGGTTTCTCTAGAAAGAAAGCGCAAACTAAAGACGCTGCGGATACATTACTCGTCACGTTGATGGGATGTGTGTGTGACTGAACGCATGCATAGATTCCAGAAAATCACTGGCAGTGTGAATGAACCAAAATCAAACGATCCCGGGAATCTGTGTGAAAGGGGCTATAGACCATTTCACAAGATGTAAACAACACTGGTCCAGAAGCACTTCCTGTTTCAGTTTTTTAACACTACATAAAAGCTGGGATAAATAACAACCAACAAAACATGTAAAACTGAATCAAAAAGTTAAACAAACATCTTTAAGATGTGAAATAAAGAAAACAGTTACAAACTGAAACAGGAAGTGTTTCTGGACCAGTGTTTACATCTTGTGAAATGGTCTATACTACACTTCGTTCGGGCGGTGAAGGCACTCGGTGTCTAAACTGAAACAGAACTGACCATCCCATTCAGACTTTGTCGGATTAACCTCATCACTCATGTGGTGTATAAATGTGTGTGTGTCTGGCTTGGGAAGTTCACCTTCACCCATTTGTGTATCAGATGTTGCCAAGAACTGTTTTTATTCACTTTTCACACAAAGCAAAAGACGCCGTCCTTGTTTTTGGTTTAGTTTTCATCGTCCTTGCTCTTAACGTCACTCATTCTTCACTCAAATCCTGTAATTGTTGTAACTAAAATGAACACATTTCCTCCAGGAGCGAGAACGACAGAAGTGGGACGCCTTGAACAAGAAGATCGAGCAAGAGAATGAACGAAAGCTGAAGATTGAGGAGGAGAGACGAAAGAAACAGGAAGAAATGAAAAGGTGGGGAGGACGAGCTTGAATTGAATTATTGATCGAGTTTAAGTGTAAATGCAAATCGGGACTCGCTGTGAATTCTGTCCACTTTAGAAAGCGGGATGAGCGTTTGAAACGGGTTGTTGAGGCTCGAGTGAAAGGTGAAAAGGAGAAGGAGCAGGAAAAGAAAAAGAAGATTGAAGAAAAGCTGGCACTGCTGGAGAAGAAAAATGATCTGGTTGGTAGTGAAGTTCTCAAGACTGAATGGAAACCCATGTTTGAAATCCAGTATTTTTTAATTAAAATTAATAATTATTTTAAAAAATAAATTGTATAATATGACTTCTTGATTATATTTGTTTTGTTTTTGTTATATTTATATGATGTTTGTATTTTTGTAAATTAATTTTTGCCATGAAAAATAACTCTGACTGCTGACATGGCATGAAATAAAATAATCTCAATTTGATTTTAAGGTTTTTTTTTTTTTTTTTTTTTTTAATGTTGTGGGGTTTCTCTCTCTCTCTCTCTCTCAGATGCGAGTTGAGCGAATAGCAGAGGAGAAAGCCAAGAGGAAGGTGGCCACTAAACGACAGGAAGAACTGGAGCTGCGCAAGAAACAGGAAGAGGCAGCCAGACTAAAGAAAGTTCAGCAAGCTGTAAGTGGAGAGACCATGTTGAAAGAAGTTAATGGGACGGCCTTCAATATTGAAAGTGTACTTTAATTATTTATTCTTTTTGCAACCACTTATTTTCTTTCAAACCAATGGCAAATAATATCAAGGCTAATATAAGATTTGTTTTGTATATATTTTACTTATTCTTTGGGGGCTTTGTAAGATTTTCCATTTGATCAACAACAAAAAAAATTGATCAAAAACGGTTGTAATTTATTCCTGTGTTCAAAGCTGAATTTTTCCAGTCTTTAGTGTCACATGATCCTTCAGAAATCACTCTAATATGACGATTTTCTTCTTATCAAAAACTGTTTTGCTGCGTATAATTTGTGTAAACCATTATTTTATTTTTCAGGATTCTTTAATTAATAGAACAGTCAGTGTTTATTTGAAATGGGGATGTTTTGTCGCATTATAAATGTCTTTACCGTCACGTTTGATTAATTTAATGCATCTTTGGTGAATAAGTTAATTGATTAACTACAAATTATATTTTTATATGAAATAATTGTAGCTACAATGGCATATTTACATACTTGTCTTCTGCTTTAGGAGGAAGAGGAGCGGCGACACCAGGAAATGCTGGCTAAACGCAAGGCTGAAGAGGAGCGAGAGAAGGCCCGCAAACTGGCCGAGGCCACACGCGCGCTGGAACTGAAGAAGGAACAAGAGCGGGAGAAAGAGAAGGAGCGGGAAAGGGAAAGGGAACGTGAAAGACAGGCTGCTGCTGAGAAGTTAGTTGTGCTTTAACATGTGTGTGTTTGAAATGAAAGCATGATTTTCTAAGATCTTAAATGTGCATGTTTGTGTCTTGCAGAGAAAGACTAGAGCGAGAGAAGGCCATCGCTCTTCAGAAGGAACTGGAGAGAGCCGCCAGAGAGAAGGAGAGGAGAGAGATGGAGGAGAAGAGGAAGATGGTGAGGATTTTATTGTAGCATGTAGTTTGTTTTCCGATAAAGAGACATGCGCATATAAACTACACTAAACCCATTTACCAAATAAATCCCTCAATGTCCAACAAAATATTTCTGATGTGATTGGATAACTGGACTAACTAGCGAACCAATCGCACACAGGGTTTCCGCGGGGTCTTAAAATGTCTAAAATTTCTAAATCACAATTTAAGGCCTTAAAAAAAGTCTTAAATTTGCTGAAGTACAGTGTTCTAGGTCTTAAATCATTTTAAACGGGTCTTAATTTTCCTACGTCCATGTAAATCTCATTGAAATGCTCCCGCAGCGCTTTGGAATATTATTATTATTTTTATTTTATTTATTTTTTTTATTCCGTGGTTTTTTTTTTTTTTTTGCTTGTTCAAATATAATTCGCTGTATTATGACTACAAAATAGACCAACATGCAACAGCCAATCAGTTTTGTGTTATTGGCGCGCATCTCAGATACCACAGACATAAAACGGATTTTATTTAGCGATACTTGGCTTAAAAATCAGATTTTGCTTTTGGATCAGAGAGTCAACACTAAAAGTGGAGGTGCTCTGGGATCTCCACACGGTGACGGGACACCAGTCCTACATTGTTTCAAACAATGTTTCTGGACTCTGACATCGCTAAATTCTTCAGTTGCAGGAAAGATAAAACGGACTACATCATGTGCTTTTTATATGTGGGCATTTTATAAAAACAAACAGAACTAATTTCCAAAATCACGGGACCGTTTGTGATGATTATCGACGAATGTTCAGTTTGAATAAATTAAATTACTTTGCGAATAATTTTGAGACTATGCGTTTCCTTTGTACTTTTTTTTTATTTTTTTCGTGATATAGGTCTTAAATTTCATTCATAATGGTCTTAAAAGTCTTAAATTTGACTTTGTGAAACCTGCATCACACCATCTCAAATGTTGGTTCGGTCATTCTGAAATGCCTGAGCCAAAGTCTGACACCAGAATGACAGATGTTTAATTCCCTCCCTGACACCAGGCATCCGAGCATTTTGCATTGCATGTTCTCTGATGTAGAAAACAAGAGCCACGCTGACTTTTTTTTTTTTAGATTTTTCTGACTAAATATTTTGCAAAAATTTCCCAGGAAGTGAGGACTTTATTCTCTCGAACGCATGGAATGGAAACGGTGCTTTATTTGCGACTGTTTTATGCGATATTCCAATTTTGCGATTTAAGTTATATTCACAACTTTCAATGAAAACCCAGACCCACGTAACTTTATATTAATCATCGATTGTGTTCTGCTTGACTGATGTTGGCTTTCAATAAGGACCGAACAATTCTCAACTTTGACATGGTGTAGTGCCTACGTTACACAACGGTCTCATTAAATCTGAGCGCTCCATTAACAGGAGGAGCAGAGGAGGGCCGAACAGGAGAGGGAAGCCCAACAGAAACGAGACGCTGCACTCGCCGCCTCGGCGTCCCATGCTGCCACAGCTCAGGTAATCAAGTCTTGTGCGACGTTATTTCTTAATATTTTGAAGGGGATTTTGGTCCGTTGCCGAAAACGCTTCAATGAATCTTTCTCGTATTTTATAAAAATGAACTGTATCAATAGCTATTACAAAATATACATTGCATTTTTGTTATTTTTCATTTTAAAGCTGCAGTAAGTGATTTCTGAGAAACGCTATTGAGTTTTGAAATCCATAAAACAAACACCCTCCCATATCTTAAGCTCCGCCTCCAAATTCACAAACATTCTATGCAATACGGGCTCCTCCCCCATCACGAGTGGACACGCTCTGTCTGATCTAATGCACCTTTAATACATTTTAATGTGTTAAATTTATTTATACTTCGTACACTGAATCCAATTATTATTTTATTCTTTATTCAATGAACAGGTCTCAAAAACACAAGCATCTAAAATGCTCAACTCCACCATAACCAAAGGTTCAGCTCTGAACATGACTGTAGATATTGAGGTAAATGTGTTTTCCTCGCCTGTTCATTGGGTTGCTTACTGCTAATAAATATTTGTACTAAAGCTAAATTGTTCCTTTCCACAGACCTCGGTCATGAAGACTCCAGTCGGGAAAGGAGCCGCTCAAAATGAGACCGTCGATCTCGGAGCTGGACTCAACGTGACCGTTGACATTGAGGTGAGGTCAAGGCAACTGTGATGCATCTTTAACGTGTCAGTTAATATTTGTATAGTTCCCAGAGAAGGAAATGAGATGACTTCATTTTTTAGGTTGAGTTCTAGTTCGGTTTTGTGTTTCGAGGGTTGTTTTTTGTGTACAATCATATAAAGCAATCTCAGGTGACTAGAATAGCTGGTTTCTGACCCCGTCCCGTGTTTTATGCCTTGCAGCAATCTCCACAGTCCTACCAGATCACGCCTAAGGGCCAGAAGGTGACCGTTTTAGTGAATCCCGACGATTACGGCATGGACCAGAACAGCGATGACTCGACAGACGATGAATCTGCACCCAGAAAACCCATCCCGTCCTGGGCTGAGGGTATGATTCTTTTGTGGCAAATGCTGGAAATGTTTATTTGTAGTTAATTTTCCGTCTGTGCGCTCAGTGTGACGACTTTTGGTTATTTTTTGTAAACCGAAATAAAATGGAATAGTTAACATAAACGAATGAAAACTAAATGAAACTAACAGTTACTGAGAAATGAAATAATTAGTGAAAATACATTTCTATCAAGTCTAGACCTTATGCAAATACAGTTGTACTTTAATTTGAAGTAAGATGACCATCTCCACACATATTAGACAAGATGGCACACGTCTACCCCCACAAATAGACGTACATTTGTCAGGGTAGAAGTGAACTAAATGTCTGGTCTGAATAGAACAAATGAATATGAGAATAACTGAGTATGAAAAAAAGCATTAGTGGATCAATACAAGAATCATTTTTGAAATGACTAATCATAACAGCAATAATTTTTTCTTATACTCCACTTTTAACGAGATTTGATTTAAATGAGTATGAGTGAATAATTTCTTACTTTAAGTTGCATTAGTTTAGTTCTTTGGTGCAAACCAAAGAACAGAGTTAACTGTAAACTGCAAACATTAAACTTTGCTCAAATATGTCTAACAGAAAGTGCTGTTAACTCTAAACTATAATCACTAAATAAAAATGTTCACAAAATAAAAACTAAGCCATTAATGAAACTAACTCAAACTAAAATGTATAGGGAATTTGACAATTAAAAAACTAATTTAAAAATGCAAATCTATAATAAGCTTGGTCTGAGCAGCATCTTTCTTATAGTACATTTACATTTCTTCATTTAGCTGAAGCTTTTATCCAAATTGCTATATATGTCAGAGGTCGCACACGTCTGGAGCAACTAGGGGTTAAGTGTCTTGCTCAGGGACACATTGGGGTCTCGCACACCAAAGGCGTAGTAGAGTTGTGAGTTTCAAAAACCGCAATGCAACCCTCCTCGTTGCTGAGAAATATAATGTAGTGATTCAGTATCAAAACTATTATTGAGGAGGGTTGAGTATCGTTTAAATGAACATCTCTGATTCTGCTTATCAGCCCACACAAACTACATGATAGTTTTTCTGTATCTACAGCATGTTATTGTGTTATTTTAAAGCGATTGTGGTGTTGTGTGCAGGTATGCAGTTGCAGCAGGCTATAATGAAGCACTATTACAACCCACTGGATCTGCACTCATATTTTGGAAAGCCTGAACCACCCAAGCTGGAGGAGATCTTCAGGCGGACCAAACCTCGCTTCTTCAAACGCACTAGCTCCGCTGTCTGGCATTCTCCACCACGTCTGGGAAATTTGGGAAATTGATAACCAAATGTACTTTTTTTTTTTTTCCTACTTTTAGTCTGTCGTCTTTTTTATGTTGTTGCCTTTTGTACTTTAAGCTCACTTTAATAAAGCCTTTTTAAAAATCTATATGTAAGTAGATTAGGCTGGGGGGAAAAGAGTCGAATGTGTAATTTAGATGAGACAAAAGATGGAGTTTGATGACTGGATGGACTGTCTCTGTTTAAGTGGTTACATCATCACCCATGTATTTAAATGGCGTCACGTGTAATAATATTCGGAAGTGTACACAGGAGCTGCTACAAATGGGATGGGAAAGTAGATGTAGATGATATGGGGGTGATGTTGTCCCACAAAATAAGTGTTCAATGTACTCTGGACTGTCAATAAAAGTGTAATTTCTAAATGTTTGTGGTGTGTTTATGATTGATGTGGTTTGATAAGGCAATCTGGATCCCAAGCATCAGTAGCAATTCATTCCTTTAACCTTCAGATGGTTTTTGTTTCCTGTTTACACTTTGGGGTCTATATGACCCCAATAATTGATTGAGTAATTGTAAAAAAAATTAATCATACAAATAAATCTTTTTATATTTATTTTTAATCTATTCATTAATACTGTTTTTGGAGATATAGAGTACTTTAGTATCCATATTAGCTTGCATATGAAATGTTTTTTTTTTTTTTATGATGCTTTGCATTTATGCTCTAGCACTAGGCCTTCATTTCTGTGTAAAAATGTTCAGATTTATGCTGGGTTTTTGTTTTGTTTTTGTCAAATGAAGAAAATATATTTAGTTTTTCACATTTCCCATTCATTTCAATGTGGGGTCATATTGACCCCAAAGACCAGAATTGTAAACATTTTTTTACACCTTCAGAACAACCGAATCAAGCCCATCTATATTTTTTGTTTATAGATAGATAATGTATGAAAAGTCACAAAATCTTATTCCACTGAACCTTTTTTTTAATAAGTAAAAGTCGATTGAGGGCTACATAAGCTCCTTTTATTTCGTTTATGTTGAAACGTGTTAGTACTATGACGGAGACATGAAAGCTTACTGCATAAAATAGGGATGAATGGGAACACAACAGTTAACTTGAATATAGTTAAGGTTATGTTGTTAAGCATCTACTCAATGAATAAATGTATAACGTAAACATGATTAAGGTCTGCCGAGAATCCCCGGGACAGTTCTGGTAAATTGTGTCAGAGGAAGGACCAGTACGCATGCGCATATGGCGGCAGTTACTCATCTCGTGAGCGCGCACAGCAGTGGAAAGTTTCATCGTCATTGACGGCGTCGCGCATCCCAGGGAAACGTTCACACCCAGGACAACGGTCTGAAATCAACACAAAGGTACGTTAGCTGTTAAAACACGGTTTGTTATTAGTGAAAACAAACCTATTATTTTATTAGTCACTGATTTACTGAAGCTACCCGTTTTGACTTATAATAACAGGTGCCGTTGACGGTCACACGCCTATATAGCAGGTCGGCTATTTAAAGCATTGGTGAATTTACGCGAGACCAGAGGCCTGATTTTGTTTACATTTATTATACAGTGGCATATCGACTTCAAATATTTAAGGTTACATATTATTTTCAACACATTCATCACCCGTGAACGATTAAATAATACGTTATATAACGGGAAAATAAAACAAACTGCGTGTTGTGGTTGTTGTTATGATATTAGGTGATACTTTAGTTTGATATATTACGATAAATCAAATATTAGTATTTAGATTAATTTTGTTTAGCCCATCCTGACGCAAAGCCGCGAATCTGTGTTGGAAATGGCCTCCATACAATGAGAAAGAAACACACACACACCCATATAGATTGACAGACCGATACACAATAACCGTTGTCATTGCTGTAACGTTAAATACTTTTGTCGTCAGGCATGTAAGTTACTAAGATACTCAGATGAGCATGATGGGTTGTTAAACTAGTCAATTAAAGCGAAATAATACATTGTGACGTCATATATTTGTGGACAAATCTGAGCACATTAGCTGGCAAGGGCCATTGTATGCCTTAGCTTTCCTGAGCTGGTATTTATGTATAAGTTCTGCAATAAAAAAGTAATAATAAAATAAAAATAAAAAAACATTAGGTGGCCAGTCACGTTTTTAACTCCAGTGATTTGCATTTAGCATTTTTGTCACGAGTAAAGTTTGGTCATAAGCGTTGTTGTTTGATCAATAAAGGCCTTGTTTCTGTTCACATTTTCTCTCCTGCAATTTCTGTTAAGGCTGTCAAACGATTAATCACGATTAATCGCATCCAAAATTAAAGTTTGTGTTTACATAATATATGTGGGTGCACTGTGTATAATTATTTATAAATACATTACACACATGCTTGAATATATTTAAGAAATATTTTCATGTATATACTGTGTATAGATTTATAAATAATTCATATTATATATTAGGGCTGGGTATTGACACAAATTTCACAATTCGATTCGATTTCGATTCACAAGCTTGCAATTCGATTCGATTTCGATTCGATTCAATATTGATTATTTTGGATATGAGTTACAATAAATGGCAAATTTTCTCAAGGAAATCAAATCTCTTAACTAACGCTGTAAACTATGGGAGTCTAGTTGTAGCCAATAGGCTTCATTAGCCTAATATGAAGGTAATAATTAACTGTTTTGTAGCTATACAAATACTTAAATTACACTTTTATTTATTTTTATGATAAGAAGATTAAATGAAATATAAACATTTAAATTGTGACTGTCATAAAAACTTGCCAGATTTATTCAAATATGCATTAAATTTTGAAGAACATTAAGATTATAATGCATATGTAATATGGTGTATTTAGCAAAATGCTCCTCTCTAGAGTTAATTTTTCTATCTGACTAACGAGTTTATGAGGGTTTTCTGAGGTAAATATGACGATACATGACATTGATTATTACAAGCTGTTTATCTGACGTCTTTCCACGGTTGAAACGCTGATTGAGGGAATCAATGTGACGTGATATGGATTTCGATAAGTTGTACTGTATCTTTAACACACTTTCAGATGCTCATTCATGTTTATTTGGCGCTGTGACTGGTATTATTAAGCCGGAAGAGAGATCAGCGCTGCTGCTTCTCTTGATCTCATGCCACAGCAACAAAACCCTATTTATGTTTTTGAATTTCTAAAGAAAATGGACGTAATTTGAAAATTGAGACTTTGTTTCATATCAATAGTAACAAAGGACAAAGATTATTGCGATTTTTTTGGATGCGCGCAGCCGCGATACAATGATTCATTCATTCAAATGAAACAGGATGACTAATCGATTCTTGAGATTTAAGAATCGATATCGGTTCGTAAAAATGAGAATCGATTAATATCGAGAAATCGATATTTATTACCCAGCCCTGTTATATATAAATACTATTTTATTCTTAAATATACATGCATGTGTGTATTTATATATATGAAGAGTTCAGATGCAAAAGCCTCTAAATGCCATTTGAAATTTTCTTCTTTATAGATGATTATCAAACTTGTATAGTTAAGTTCAGTAATTTCACTTAAATAACAATTAATAGGTGATTATCATTGCCATTTAAGGGAAATCACTGAACTTAAATATACAAGTTTGATAAAAATGATCATTCTAGAAGAAAATTTCAAATGGCACATAGAGGCTTTTGCATCTGAACTCTTTATATATAAACATAATTATACACAGTGCACCCACATACAGTATATTACGTTAACACAAACTTTTATTTTGGACGTGATTAATCGCGATTAATCGTTTGACAGCCCTAATTTCTGTTTCTGACTCTCTATCAAGTGAATCTCGAATATTAATAATTACATTATCAAACTATTAAGCACAACCAGTCATGACTAGGGTTGGGTATCATTTGAATTTGAACGATTCTGATTCCGATTCCGATTCCTTGTTTCGATTCCGGTTCCTAACGATTCTCGATTCCGATTCTTTTAAGAGGCAGGGTCAAAAAAGTTTAGCTAACCTTGCTAACCAACGGCCTTTCTGAAGGAAATACTCCTTCTGTAAAAATACTCCTTTTGTCACAAATTTTGCATTTTGCCGAGATTTCGTTATTTTTAGAAAAGTGAAGCCACACTTTTGGACCGCCGACGTAAGCTACTCATGTTCGACTCGCGTGGTTATGCCAACACTTCTGGTAGACGCTTCTTCGTTGGTGTTGTTCAGCAGTTTCTTCTTTTTTTTTTTTTGTGAATATCGAAACTAGGAATCGAAATTTTAACTTTTGAACGATTCCGGGAAAAACGAAAAGTTAGTCCCAGTTCCAATCGATACACGATTCTCGATACCCAACCCTAGTCATGACTCATGTATGTAAATGTGACATACCAAAATTGACAACTTGATCTCTGATTCCCTCTTTTTCTTTTTTCCACAGACATGGGTCGCCTAACAGTACTGTTTCTCTGCCTGGCTCTTGTGGTGTCCGTTTTGGCCAAACGAAGTGGGGGCGGTAAAGGCGGATTTAGCTTGGGTAAAATTGGCTCAAACAAAGGTGGAAGCAGCACAGGAAGCAAAGGTGGCGGCAGCAGTAAAGGCACCTCACATGGGACACACTCGGCCCCTGGAAACTATCCTCGCCAACCTCAAGTACCAAACCAGAATCCACCCCCCTATCCTGGTACTGGAGGCGGGTACCCTAGCCAGGGCAGATATCCACCAGCTGGCTCTAATCCAGGTCAAGGATACCCTGCCCAAGGTGGCTACCCAGCTCAAGGTAGAAACCCAGCCTACCCACCACAAGGTGGTTATCCAGCTCAAGGTGGCTACCCAAACCAAGGTAGAAACCCAGCCTACCCACCACAAGGTGGTTATCCAGCTCAAGGTGGTTATCCAGCTCAAGGTGGCTACCCAAACCAAGGTAGAAACCCAGCCCAAGGTGGCTACCCACCACAAGGTGGTTATCCAGCTCAAGGTGGTTACCCAGGGGGAGCAGGCTACAACAGGTATCCTGGACAAGCCGGAGGAAACCCCTATCCAGCTGGAGGCTCTTATCCAGGTTATCCAGTCCGAGGAGGTTCCAGCCCTAACCAGTTTGGTGGAGGTGTTGCAGGTGCAGGCGCAGGTGGATATCCAGGAGCGGCACAGTATCCTTACTGGAACCCCAACAACAAAATCATGAGCCCAGGCTATGGGGGCAATTACGGTGGCTATGGGCAAGGGGGCAGATCACCTTTTGCCCAGTCAGTACATGGCATGGGAATGGCCCCTAATAGCAATTCAAGGGGATTTGGCAAGCAGGCGGTTATGGCTGCTGGGGTAGGGGCGGTGGCCGGTATGGCTCTGGGATATGGCCTCGGAAGTTTCCCTCGTCCCCGCTTCAATTTCCACAATCCACAGGAGGAGTACTACTACAATAACTACATGTACAAGCGTTATGGCCAAACTCCCCCCCAAAGTAACGTGAATGGAAACCCTAACTCCCCAGGCGGCATGCCAGGCGAGGCAGGATCTACCTCTACGGGACAAGGAAATGGTAACCCTTATGACATCTTCCAGAATCCTCCACCCGAGTCCTATGATAAGTACATGGACAAATGTATGAAGAGGACTGACTTGCTTCGGGAGAAATCGGAAGAAAGACCAAAGAGATCCATTGACCTCTTCGAGACTCAACCAGCAGAAGTAGGAGATGATCCAAACGGCGCGCAAGAAAATGCCACGAGCAACAACAGCACTGCCGAAAGAGCCAGTACAGATGCCCCTTCATTTATAGCCGAAAGATCCAGTCAACCTCAAAAGCAGATCCAGGAAGGCCAAACAGAAGCCAGAGATGATGACGACACTGTTAGCATTATGGAGATTGGCTATCCTGTGCTAATCGAGCAAATGAAAGCACGACGATGTGTCGAGCTGTACATGGTCTATGCGGAACAGCATGCAGAAAAACAGGTGCAGGGTCGCAGTGCCGCGGATCCTAAAGCCAACGCCAATAGTGGTGCTTTACCTGGACCCCTTGGCCATGGAGTCATGCTACTCTTTACTAGCATTCTGTCTCTTATCTTCAGTTGCCTGTTACACTGACATTCTAGAAAACGATATTAAACCCATAAAGCCATTGAGTCAGACTGAGAAATGGACCGTGCACCTATTACATATAATTTGAGGAATTTGTCTTGGGTGTTGTAGAGACTTAAGACAAGGTAATCGCAAAGGACTACTTGAAGATTCGACAGAAAGTACTTTTACGTGCTCACATTGACTCCACTAAATTGCAACGTGAGCCACCTAACAATTTGACACGAGCCTACGTTTTATAGTAGTTTTCAAAAGGTTAAAACCATGTCAGATTTTCTAGACCATTAACCTTCCATCACTGCCTCCTTCTTGCATGTGGTTTGATGAACACTAACTTTTCTTCCAAGACAGCATATACTGCATGAACACTTTATTATCTCCAGTTTAAACGTTGCGCACGGCATTGGCATTTGAGTCATTGTTCAGCTATTTCAACAAACCATGATTATTTTTAAGAAAAATGGTGGCTTCCAGTTCTGTCCTCATGATGGCACTTCAAGTTTTAATTTGTTGTATTTTTGTTTAGACTGTTCACTTACGGATTCACATTCTACTGACATACTTATTTATTTTAAATTAATATTATGAACATTTAAATGTCTTTTTAAAGTCCTCCACTGTTGGTTTTGTTATTTTCACTTCTAGTAAAAATACTATGTTTTTATATTGCCGTATCAAGCTGTCTAACACTTTGTGTGAATGGCTCCTTAGTGAATGTTAATGTAATCATAAATGTATGGTTTCAACTAGATATGTATGATGATAATACTCCTGCGTCTCAGTTTAATTCATATCAGATGTACTATGACAGAAGCACTCATGCAGCTCATCCACTGCTCTGAGATAAAACAGTATTTTATATAAAGTCGGATCTTTATCTGTAGCTTGGTGCTGTGATTTCTCTGAACAATACTGCTGGACTTTCAATTAGACTATCAACCCAGCTTGACACTTGCTAAATCATATATATATATATGGACCAGGGGTTCTTAACCATGAACCCCCCACGCACACACATTTTGAATCTCTCCTTTGTCTAACACCTATTTCAGATCTTGAAGTCCAATCAAATGAGCTGATGACCTGAATTGGGTTTGTTCGATCAAGGAGACAATGCAAAATGTGCAGTGTTTGGGTGGCTGGGTACCCCTAGACTCTAGAGGGACTGTGGCAACCACTGGATAATCAGAGGAAGGCAATGCTTAATGCCTTATTGTTACTCAGCTGCATATGTAATGTTATGCTTTTGAGATGTTGTGAATGTTGAAAGTACATATAATGTTGCCGTTACTGGAATTAAAATGATTAAATGCACCTTAGTTGCGTGTCTGCCTATTTTTTATTTAATATTTACAGAAAAACTCATCTATCAGGATCTAATAGCCCAAAATTATGCCAAGTAAAATAAAAAAAATAACCCATTTAGAACGAGGCTAAACATAGTCAGTTCATGATAATGTTGTGTTTATAGACATCACTTGATGTCAAATGTAGAGTCCCTGAAGCAAAACCCATTGAGAAGAAAATGTCTATTATGGTTTCAGGTAAGCTAAATGTTCACCAATGTTGGTCTTGGAGGAGTCCTTTTGCTGTTGTTTTTTTTCCCTTTGATATTATATCCTCCAGTTGACAAGTGCACCCATTCATAAAGAGACTAATTAAAAGCTTTAATGTACCCAAGGTGGAAAGCCCTGTGTGATTATAAGACTTAGGAGTGACAGAATCCAAATACAGGGCTAATTGCGTGTACCTATCAGAACTATTTATCTTCACCTGTGTTTTTTAGAATACAAGTTAACCCTTGGGAAGAAGTCTTTAGCCCAACAGAGGATCACGGGAGATAAAAATCCCCTGTTTGGAGATCATTACTGTGGTTAATCAGGCAGATTCACACATACACAATTATAGATCACAACATGTTTTTGTTAATGATGCAATTTAGAGCAGACAAACAATTTAGGAAGATCCTGACAGGCTTTTCCTTCTGCAAAATGCCATTGAGATGATCGCTCAGAAGGGGTCAAAGTGCATTTTGAGTGTTTCCGAACTGGATATAGAAGGAATTAGCATTGCATATTTACAAAACCACATGCCAAAAAGACGACACTGGCAGTGATAGAAAGCTAAAGACTCAAAGATTCTCACACCTAACAAGAGATAGTGTACATTTTCCCAACTCAACTGAAAATGATCATGTGAAATCAAAGGATTAGGTGACTGTGGCAAGCAGGACGAGGTCGAGGGCCGTGGGAGGACATCGCTAGGCCGATGGCGTGATTACTAATTAGCGACACCTGTGCAACGCGGCCTCGTATCTCTCGCGGAGGAGCGATGACAGTGGAGATTGAGAGAGGAACAGGCCTGATTTTATGTTGTGTTTTATTATGTGACTTTTGTTGTCTTTTACTTTACTTTTGTATTTATTTATAAATTTATAAGTGTTGAATGGTCGCCGGTTCCCGCCTCCTTCTTCCCATAACAAGTGAACCCCGTAACAGTGACTATTGTTGGTTTGAATTGGTTAAATTGATCTCGTCTTGTGATCTCATAAACTGCATTTATCTACTACTGGTCCACTGCGCTGCCATAATCAACTTGATTCATCCATCCATCCATTTTTTTCCAATGTGGCTACATCTCAATATCATACATGTATAATTAGGCTACTTTTTAATTGATTATTAAATTAAATTGTTAAATTAAAGTTTGTACATGCTGCTTTCCATGACAGAGCTCAATATAAATCTTGTCAGCTTCCTAGAGCTGCCCGTTTGCAAAGTTTCAAATGATTATTAAAAAGCAAGCACAAACTATTGTCAGGGCAGTGAAAGACAGAGAAGTGACTTTGTAGGCTATGGGGATGGGAGAAACCCACCGAAATCCGCGTTGGGGGTTAAACATTATAGGCCTATTATATGTGTCTTGTCACTATTGGGCAAACAGGTCTGATCCGTCATTACTACAATTAGCCTGAAAAAATGTGGGTAAATGTGTAAGCTAGATTTAGGCCTACACTTTTTTACATCTTCATGGACACCACAATGATTTCCCTCATGTGTTGTGTTAATATTTTTCCTTGTTATAATGTATGATTTGCAAAAATAAAAACTGCTGCATCTGTGTTGATGAGAGAATCAAAGTGTATAATGCGCATTGTGCACCCGCTACATTATGGCCAAGCACACGTGCTTAAAATAGCATATTAACTTCTTTGAATATTAATTAAGCATTTTGGGCATGAACATGTAGGCTAATTAGTAACGATTGACATTGAAAAATGACACTGAATGATTACAATATTTAATCCAAATAAATAAATGTTCTTGTTTCGTACTGATGTTATTCATCCGTTTTCACACATTTCAGCGTCGCGGTCACTAGTAGACGAACACTGACACTCACACTCAGTGTTAATTTAACACTCAGAATAGAGTGCCGAAGTTACGACGTCACTCTGTAGGCCAAAACGCGGAAGTGAGTTAGCATTTTAGCACTACGGTTTCCCTCGCTCTAAAGCCTATGGGATTTTTGCCTGAAATAAGATCTGTGGTGAACAAAGCCTCTAAATATTTTCACGTTTTGATCTATGACATAGAACACACAGTTATAACCTGCTTGTGTTTTTTTAAACTTTTTTGTGATTGTGTTTTTTAATATCTTTAGCCTATATAGGCTTCAAAATGTATACATTTTGGATTAACTTGTAAAGATTATCTTGCTAGACAAAACGTGTAAGGGTCACAACCCTTTGTTGAACACAGATCTTATTTTTTGCTATTTTCCAAAAGTCTATGGGGAAAATGCATTGCTTTTCGAATTCGAGCTTCCGAGTTGTCCTACAAAGTGACGTCATCACTTCGGCACTTTCAGTTCCCGCTGGAATTCGTCTTCCGCATCTATTGTTAAAACCCCCATTGTTGATTCGAATTGCAAACAACACTTAACTTACTTGCCCGAACCACAACAGACCGCCAAAAAAAAATGTTGATTGAAATGAAATAAAGCATGGAATCAACCAGTCAAAATGCTGCACAAACTCACCGTTTCTGTAAGAACACATTTGATCCGCTTTAAAACTTTTTTTAATTACATTTGTATCATTAGATATTAGAGTAATTTAAAACCCAATAGGCTACTTACATTTAAAATGGTAATCCAGCAATTTCTCTCTTCTGAATTCTGGGGAAGGCAAGGCTGCGAAGACCATCAGTTGTTTCCTTTATTTACCCAAGAAACGAAAGACGCATTTTGAGACCGTATTTAAAAGAGTCTTCGTATTGGGAAAACCTTCGTCATGCCAATGTGATCCAGTCGGCCTTTGACTTTTCCATCCCTTTTCCAACGCACCTTTAAATGAATCCTAGCACTTTGATTAGCTGCCAGCTGTTGTTTGACTACACCTGTCCAAGAGTGATTATAGCATCAGGTGATTGGCTGGAAAAAAAAAAACAGCAGAACTGAGCAAAGATGGTGAACATTTTGCACAGGCCTACTTCAAATAGCATGCACAAAGTTGATAAAGTCATTGCAAAATGTAAACTGCTACCAACTTTAGGGTTTTATTGCTATGGGACATTACCTAAACAAACTGTATGAATGTTGCATATGAATACACATTTTGACACAAGGCCATCGGATCTCTTTCGGAGAGAATTGAGAAAAACACCAGTGCGATTGTTATGCATTTCATTCCGTTTCTTATCATGCTCCAATTAACAGTTTAAAGTAAATTCTTATTAACATGTTCCATGTTGTTTTGATGATCATCAGTCCCCAGGAGAGACCTAATGAGAGACCACCTTCGTTATTAAAAGCGTGCACTCGTGTGCGCGCTCATGCATTCGACTAACTTACATGTCAGCATTGCAATGGCTATATTCTTTCTCTTATAACTGTATTAAAAAATCCTCTCACTAATGAATATTTCTCAGAGCAATGCGGGTCTTCTTGGCACCGTGTTGCCTCTTACTAGTTTCGAGAACGTGCTTTTGTTTCTCTTCAATGTAATTCTCGCCACCGCCATCATTTTCCTCAACGTGTCCGTGTTTGTCTCCATCATGATGAACAGATCCCTGCGCAGGGAGAACCGCTTCATGTACATGCTCAGCACGAGTCTCAGTGACATCTGCTCGGGCGTCTCCTATTATTACGCAGGAGTTTTGGATGTTCGAGATGTTTTTGAATCCCCGACACGCACTTTCTACATCGCTCCCACTTTCCTGGGTCTGTCCTACATGGCGATTCTGGCCGCTCAGGCGGACCGGTACCACGCGGTCTCCGCGCCTTTCAAATACTCGCAGCGCATGACCCGAAACAGAACATTACTGGTGATACTGGCCTACTGGCTGTATGCTTTTTTGATTGTGGCTGTTAATAATTTGGTGACTCTGGGGGTCGCTAGGAGAGTGACGAGTTTTGGCAGTTTTGTGGCGAACATTTTCACCGTCGTTATCATGATTGGCTTGAACGTCAGGCTGTTTTTCATCGCCAGATTTCAGCTAGAACGCGAACCGGCGAGCGCGGAACGGGACAACAAGCGCGCGTCCGTTTACCTCATTATAATAGTGGCTGCGTGTTTTTTGATCGCATGGTTGCCAATTTTTCTTCATGTTATTGTGTGTAACTTCGCGGGGTCTACGTGCTACACGTTCAGAAACGAGGGTTCAGACCCTCTGCGCATTCTGCCCCGGGTGAATGCAGTTCTGACTCCCTTATTGTACATCAGGGGCTGTTCTGCACTTAGGAACACCATACTAAGCATAGTGTGGAGAAAAGCATGCTGCAAGAGAAGAGGGTAACTCTCTCTCGCACACACTGCTGAAATATGAATGTAATAAACCAGACCATCTCTGAGACATTATTTTTTTAATCAACTCACGTATTGATGGTTTATTTCTTAAATTCAAAACAAACATAGGCTAATTATGTAAAAAAAAAATGTTTTTCTTAATATTAAAATTATGTATTTTATACATTAACTCTAGGCTGTATTTTCCAAAAGTGCCTTCTGAATAATATTCTATAGACCATTTCACAAGATGTAAACAACACTGGTCCAGAAGCACTTCCTGTTTCAGTTTTTTAACACTACATAAAAGCTGGGATAAAATACAACCAACAGAACATTTAAAACTGAATCAAAAAGTTTAACATCTTTAAGATGTTTTCTTTACATGTGAAATAAAGAAAACAGTTACAAACTTAAACAGGAAGTGTTTCTGGACCAGTGTTGTTTACATCTTACTATGTTTATAGCTTTAATAGAGCTGTGGCAAGTTAGGCATACATTCAGGCCTTTGTCACAGAATAAAATGACACAGAATATCCTTGAAGCACCTTTAAAGCTTTTCTTTCTTTCCTTTTTTTTTCTCAGTGTGAACCCTCTGTCAGTGAAGGAAGCTGCCGTCTTCAAGATGTGATCTTACAAGCCAAAGCAAAGCAAGAAAGGAAAAGTTTAAAAGATCAAGTGCCAGTGAAAATCAAATCTCACTTTACATTTGCTTCTGTTTCTGTAAACCCCAAAAGTCACATTTATCACAAGATATCTCAAATATAACAGATGCTGGCCGGCGTAGATGTGGGTGAGGCTGTTTAGGGAAAACTTGGAATTGTCAATCATTTAATCAATATTCATTGAGTATTTGTTAATCGTCCTTCTCTACATGGCATGAACCTGCAATAAATGAGATAGAAATAAAATATATTTTACATGCATCTTTGCTAGATTTAATTGTCTGAAAAATGACTGCTATCAGAATAATTTATCAATAAATTCCACATGGCCTTGTGGTTCATACATCAGATTATGACTTGAATGTTTCAAAGTTTATTCCAGTCATCTTGAGAATTAACCCAAAACACAATTCAGAGATATTGTGAACAATGTCTTTTTCATTGTGTGTGTGTGATTTTTAGTATCAGTAAATGTTTTATGATCAAAAGGGTTCTAAACAGAGAAAACTAACATGTATATTAAATGATTAATATCTAACTGTCCAGTTTTTTTTGTTTTGTTTTTTTTTTCTTCATTTATTTGTTTAAGCAGTAGCTAACCACTCTGCTCAAAAGGAGTGGGCCGAAGCAAAAGAGCTTATACGCGCCCACCCCCAAAAATTTACTCAGATGATTCCGTGATGTAAATATAAACCATATGAGAAATTTCCAAAATTCTTATAATTTCATAAAATATTTCTTTTTTTACTACTTCCGCTCGACCAGAACGCGCGTTCCGTCTCGAGCAGCGCGCGCACAGGAGATGACAGGGACAGCGCGAAATTTCTGAGGTAATGTTTGTATCACGACTAATTATATCACCGTTTAATGAAAATAATATGTTAGTGATATTACTGGCCATTAAAGTAAAGGTTAACTAAAATTAGTTAAAAAAAAAAAAAAACAACAACAATGAAGAGAGCCAGTAGGCCTAAAGTCTATGATCACGACATGTAATTATTAACAAAATGTTTGGATTTGATTCATTTTTTATTTGATTTAATATTAATATTTTATATATATATATATATATATATATTTGTAGCTAAAATGTGTTAGAGGTTATATGGTTAATTTAACCATAATATATATATATATATATATATTTTTTTTTTTTTTTATTATTATTATTATTTTTTATTTATTTATTTATTTATTGTAGCTAAAATGTGTTAGAGGTTATATGGTTAATTTTCAGTATCAAGGCTTTTGGTGGGCACTTCAACATATTTTTTCAAAACAAACCAAAAAGGCCCACCACAGGTCTGTCTCCTTATTTGCTTACCCAGCCAGTTTGCATTCTTGGGATATTTACATGGCAAACATCACATATGAAACACACAAAAGCTTTGAAAAGATATTTAAGCTGTTAGCAAACACAAACAAACATTTAATCATCTCCATTGTTGTTTTTAGACTTTTTCTCCTGGCGTAAATTACACCGATGAAAACACGAAAAAGCAATCACCTGTGCTTAATGTAAAGTGATGGACTTATTCTCATAGGGGGGATTGTTTGCTATCTATGATTTCCCCTTCACCCATTCATAAGAGATTGGATAGCTAATTAGCAGCTTAATTATACCAACAGTGAAGTCCTGTGTGGCCGTAAAGCTGTTAGGATTGTCAATCGATGATTAAACATGTCAAACACACATTATTTCCACCTGGGTGTTTTGGGACATAAAAAAACACTGGGGAAGGTGACTTGTTTAACAGATTATCAAGGGACATAAAAGCATCTTTATCATTACTATTGTTGACCAGGCAGAGCAAATGCAACATGACTGATCATAACATTGCTCTGTTTTTAAAGTTCATAGGGAATCTATTAGGGACTTATAATGACTGTGATGATGATGATTGTGGTAATTGCAGCATCTGAGCTAATAAATAGTGACCCAGAACACTGTCATAGAGTTAAAGTGGACAAAAACACGTGTTCTCTACTGTACTTGATGCATGCGTCACTGCCAAGGACACTGTGTTTCATTTTCATCAGCCAACCCCTGTGTGTGATAGTAAAGAGTAGTTAATTAAAAAAAAAAAAAATGTTGCTGATAATTTACTCACCCCCGTGTCATCCAAGATGTCCATGTCTTTCTTTCTTCAGTCGAAAAGAAATGAAGGTTTTTGATGAAAACATTCCTGGATTTTCTCCATATAATGGACTTCAATGGGGTCCAAACGGTTCAAGGTCCAAATGAGAGTTTCAGTGCAGCTTCAAAGGGCTTTAAACGACACCAGACGATGAATAAGGGTCTTATCAAGCGAAACGATCGCTCATTTAATAAATAAATAACAAATTTTAAGTTTTATAAGCTCAAATGCTCGCCTTGCTCTGTTCTGTGATGCGCGTTCGTGACTCTCCTGTTCGAACTCATTCATCAAAATGAACGAATCTTTTTTCGAGTCATGACTCGAGGGGTCCTAAATAAGACCTTTATTCATCGTCTGGTGTCGTTTAAAGCCCTTTGAACAGTTTGCACTGAAACTTTCATTTGGACCTTGAACCGTTTGGACCCCATTGAAGTCCATTATTATTATGTTTTCATCATGCACATCTTGGATGACATTAAAAGTTTTTTTTTAAAAGTTAACTAAGTATTACTGTTCTAAACATATTAATAAAGACAAGGCCCATTCTGCATTATAAGAACAGTTATAGTTACAAGTAAAATGCTTTAGCTGTCCACTTATGCATGAAAGGGTTAGTGTTTGCCATTTTTCGAGGGCCCAAACTGTTGTTTTTTCAAGTGATATCAAATAGTTTGACCGTTTTATGAAAAGGCTCATAAGAATAGGCGACTATTATGTATCAAAATATCAGGCTCTTATTGCAGGCCCACCATCTCTCACAGCACAAGGGTCTCTGACACCAAGCAAATCTGGAGAACAGACTATTCCCATGTGACATTATCTGAATCACTCATCTTTCAGTCTCATGGGTTTGAGCCCCATCTACTTAAACCCTTTAATCATCAGCACCAGAGTCCTCCATCTAGGCTACTAAAGGCTCGTGACAATGCTCACCTTTAACCTAACCGTTCCACTCTCGGTTGACTTTTCGCGTCCTGAAGATTATTTGATATTTATTTTTCATATCCTGTTCGCCACATGTTCGTCTCTGCTGGCAGGGTCAGTGGTCATCGGCATCATGAGCACCAGAGCCCTTCGCTCCCAGAACCGCTTCATCTTCATGTTAAACACCAGCATCAGTGACACGTTAACCGGCGGCTCTGTCTTCTACCTCGGCCTGTTCGACGTCCAGGAGGGTTACCCGTCCCGAAACGGCACTTATTACATTTTACCGTCATTTCTAGGGGTGAACGTGTTGACATTTGTGTTTGCTCAGTTTGACAGATACCTGGCTGTGTGTCACCCCTTCTTCTACAAGCGTTACGTCACGCGCGGGGTTGTGATCGGCGTGTGCGCGCTCTGTTGGATTTATACATATTCGATTCTTGCTGTTCAAAGTGTCGTGCCTGTTGCTTATGCCGCGCAAATGAACGCGTTTGGGGTCATCGTCCTACAGGTGATCGTGGCCATCAAAGTGTTAATGACCATCAAATTGTACATGATCGCGAGGCATCAGCTCAGTCGAGAGATGCCCAGCAGCGACAAGGAGAGCAAGAAAGAGTCGCTGCGCATCATCGTTTATGTGGTCATTTGTTTTCTCATTCTGTGGGCTCCGTCTTTTGTGAACATCTCGGTAAAATATGTGACCAAGACCGGGCTGAGGTTCAGAAATGAAGCCACGAACCTTTTCGCGATCATGGCGCGCTTGAACGCGCTCAGCACGCCCGCGCTTTATATCTGGGGCAGTCCGTCTTTGCGCGCGGCCGTCTGGAGCTCCGTGTGGAGCAAAATATTCAAGAGGAGAACCACAAGGTTTTTTGTCGTTGTTGTTACTGAATGTAAAATGTTTAAACCCATGCATTGCACACACAGCTGTAAAAAAATATTTTAATACAGAAATGCCAACTGTATGGCTCTGCAAGTGTAGTAGGGCTACTATTTTAAAGTTAAAAAGTTAATGTACGAACAACACACTAAAAAAGAAAGAAAAAAAAATCATATTATGGATTAAGACTTGTAAAAGAGAGAACTAGAGCTTAATAAAACATTTCGCAGGCATCTTGATTGAACAAAGGAATGGACCGTTTCAGTTTTTAATTCGTAGTAATAAAAAAAGAAAATGCTCAAATGTATCGATACGAATAACAAACTAAATGGTCCATCCGTTGTTCCATTAAGATTTACACAATTGCTTATTTTTTTTACTCATTTAAAATTATTAATCCATAATATGTAGCTTTAGGATTATTTAATTCAGATTGATGGCATTTTACTACACAATTGAAATTCGTAGCTAAATCTTAAAAAAATTAATAAAAGGCTCGAGTGTAAGGATCGATGTTCTAAGAACGTTCCATAACAATATTTTAAGAACGTTGGTCCTAACATTTACAGAACTTTTAAAAACATCAAATTATGGGAACATTCTGTGTTGGCTGTGGGGTCCAAAATCTGAGACTACTAATGAAAAAAAAATATATATATATATATATATATATATATATATATATATATATATTTTTTTTTTTTCAGGAAATGAGGAAAAGTTTTTCAATATGGTCTCAGACTTTTGAACCCCGACCGCTGTATACTTATCCATTAAACATTTACTTTGTCAGTGTTATTCATAATTTAATCAAGCTGTGTGCTACCTTACATCCATGCATCTGTGTGTGTCTTTTGAAACAGGGTGGACTCTGGCCATGTGAAACCCAAGAAGGGAGGAGAGAGGATTCTCAGCATCACACAGAGCTCCAGACACACGAACACCGGAGACTCTCGGCTGAAACACTGATGATCGAGCCATTACAGCAGAGCAGCTGATGATGAAAATTATCCTGATCTATAATGCCAAATTTCACCTTGTCTTAAGTATATGATGCTTATTGATACACTAAGTTGTGAAGTAAGGTTACCTCATGCATTTACAGCACTCCTTGCATATTTCAGCTGCTGGAGAAAAGCGTGCCATTTTGCATTATTGAGGAATTTAATAGGTTGTCAATTAAACTAAATATTCCTGAAACTACACGCTTACAAAAAAACTCAAGGGAACTATATTCATTTTTCAATTCAGAACGGTACAATTTCTTTGAATAATTGACCTTGTTTTCAGTAAAAAAAGGTCCACCTTTTTATATATTTATATATATCAAATAATTCGACGTCATCACGTTTAATTTCAATATTTATGTTCAATATATTTACACCGTACTAGCAGCAGCTATGCAAAATGCAACCGTTACATCTTAAAGCCAAGCATGTATATTTAATATACCGTACTTTTCCCCCCATTTCAATTAATTATTAAATGCATTCATCAAATTAATAAACTAAACAAGGTTA